CTCTAAAAGCAAGCATGTTTTTAAATAAATAATACTACATTTTATCTTTGCGACCCAGTTTTTGACTCACAAATAATGCTATCGCAAACAGTAGTATAGGAGCTAGTCTAGATTTATCCAGTTAGTGTCATTTTAAAATCAGAATTGTACACAGATCCTCAGGTTATCACAAATTAAATGTTAGCGTATTTAACGCATTTATTTAGGCCCTTATGCTATAAATGCAAATATTCCTCTTATTTATCATGAAAATAACGTCATGCATATTGGAGAATCACTGGTTGCCAAAACTCTTTTGACATCTTGTGTTATCCGTATATTACTATTCAGTCAAGCAAAATATAAACTCATGTTTTCCAACAAACATATTTTCATCCATCTTCACACCACGCTCTGACAAATACCTCCGTTTTTTACTTATGAAAATATGATTCTGTACAGTAATGGTTTTCGTTGTATTCCATTTAAGGTTAACTATCTGCTACTGTGCGCTTTTAGATTCACCGGTGTGGTGACTTGACACAAGACTAATTTGTCAGCACTGTGACTTAAATTGGGTATTAATTACTGCTACTGGTATAACTGTTTGCTATGACTGAGAGCTAACTACCACCTACTACTCATCGCACTGAAATGAAACTGCTTTGCCAACATAAAGAAAAGAACAAGACTGTAGAGGCGGATTGATTAATTCGCCAACGACTAATCAAACAACATCCAGAATAAAACTAATAATAATGGTAAGTATCATTTTAAGTATTCTAGTCGGTCAACAAGTTGAACTAGCAGTTAATCAATAATCTCATGTGTGTTTGTAATTTTAAAAAGTCAATAAATTAATTGATTTTACTGATAAATATCGTTCATCATTAAACTTTATTCTATTCATAACGATAAGCAAACCCACTCCGATAAAATCAACATGCTTCTCTGGCAGAATCATTTCCAACAACATGGTTTTGTGGGCAAGGCATTTACTCATTTAAGAATCCTCTCTGCAATCCCTGAAGATAGTACAAAATTTCTTAGTATCTTGAAGAGCTGAAGGTCGTAAGCTGTATGTACCCAGCTAAATAAAATAAAACCCGCTTCAGGCAGACCTGTCCTAAATACTTTCAGTTTCACTCAACAGCTACCATGCAAGAAACAAACAGGTACCTCTGTATTCCAACAAATGGATACAGGTAGCTAAACGAAATGGATACGACTAAATAACAATGCACAAACCCCTAAAATGTAGGTATGGTAAAACTACAATAAGGACTTTCTCTTTGACTGTGAACAAACACTAACCGATTTAAATGTAGTGAGATAAATTTCATTTTTACTGAAAAATGTATCGACATTATTAATACGATCCCAAATTTGGATGCGCATGTCATACTAAATGAATGTGTATGAATTACTTTAGTCCATCAACTGCCTTTTTACATGCATAAACTTCACTTCTCATAAGTACTCTCTTAATATATATATATATATATAATTTGTGTAAGGTTTACTTCAGCATTGGTTAATATTAAGATCTAGGAATCACATCACAGTATATTGGAGGTCATTCATTTCGGTAAGCCTACAGTAAAGATAATGTACCAGGTATATCGTTAGTACAATACCAAAAATATCATATCATATTGTATTATTAAAGAATTATTCGATACTCGGCTCATTTTTAAAGCAATTATAAGTGTACTTTCGATTCAAAAGAGCCTAATACCTACATTAAGATGAAAAACGGAGTTCAAGATTTCTCCAATTCTCAATTTGAAGCTCTTATTCGATAATGTATTTTCTGTGAGTGAGACAGACACTAAACTGAGGTATCACTTGCCAATAAAACTGACCAAATAAAAAGCAATTCAATAACAGAATTTCTAAGATTTTGTGTTTCTAATATGATCTCAATATTAACAAACAGAAAACTTTTCTCTCCAGTAAGCGGCGAAATTAAGACCATTCATGTTTTTACTATCCAACTGACCCAACTAAAAAATGATAACCTTTAGGAACCAACCACTTTGCCTCGTTTAGTATAGTTAGACAATACGTAAACTAATCAAGCATACACCATGACAAAACTAATAGTGAAAATATACCAAGTATCCCGCATCATATCATTTAATATATAACTAATTGTTATATAATTGGTCATTCTGTTATAATAGTTTAAAAAGTTATTCTGTTTAATCGTTATTTTGTTAGAATTATAACACAAAAGTTGAATGAAATGCTTTCGTGATTATTAATTGAACTGTGCAACAATTCCGGTTTTATTTCAGTAGATTACTTTGGTGCTATCAAAATAATTAATTTTCACACTAACAGATTCTAAAATAACCCACATTAGATTGAACTTTTCCTCAAAATGTATGTGGATATTATCTTATACTTTTTTATATGGGAAAACATGTGATGTTAATGAAATAGGTAGTGACTGAATGTTAATTCTGTCTAAATTCCATTTTTTCCAGGAAAACACATGAAATAATAATGGTTTAAATATATCCATCTTAAAACTTTCATGTATTTTTCAAATATATTGTTGATTATTTAGTAAAGATAAAACCATACTATTTGGAGTCTGGCTAAAATTTCGCAGTCGATTGAACTGATACTCTTTAGTTTAGACTTAACAGATGGCAAACGTACTTTCAGATAAAGACACTACACTAAGATTGAGTAGCCTCACTCTCCAGTAACTCTTTGGAGTGTAAGCATTAGTAAAAGCCATCTTCAAATTAATCATGTCCCTGAAACTACTTGGTTGTAAAATACTAAATTCAATTTCCATAAAGTCCTTCAATTTCTTTTTCGACACTTATATAGTCTCAGCTAGAAATACATCACGTAAAGCCATTGGAGATAAGTTACAGGAAAACCTAGACCTAAGTTTCTTACTAATCGCTACACATAAACTACGTTTATTTGAAACTTTGAGTAATTTGATGTTATGCGTGGTATTCAAACTCAAGTGCTGCAGCTAGCGACTTTACCATTAAGTTATTCAGACTGTTACTGACCTTAGTATATTAGTCCGAGGGGATTATTGTACACTGAAGTACCGGAGTTGGTTGCCTTCAGGAAACGCTGTACTACATTCTCTTCAGCTCTATTAAAAGTCTAAAAAGAAAGCTTGCTCGCTGCATATATTTTTGAATTAGCTACTTTAGATACCGTTTCCTATTAAAAAGACATTTATAATTCTTTTGTATAATATCTGACCGCTGGGTAATAAATACTGACCAAGCTTATCTGATATTTTTCATAGTATTAGTATCATTTGTAAACTGTTATTGATTTGTCAGTTTTATTTCCGGAAGCACCAAATCACTGTTTTGCTTCATCATACTTCATGATAACGGTATTTTGAATTATACCAAATACTACTTGTTAGACGTCGATAATTGTCGTTGCTCATAAATGTAATTATTCAATAATTGGGGATAAAAACTTAATTATCCTAACAAAAATATGTACACATTTAAATAAATAACTGGACAAACTAAAAATAATGTAAATTTATGTGTTCATTCACTTGTTGAATAGTTGTGAATTGAATCTACCTTACAAATCTTAAGGTATGTTTTTGATTAAAATATGCTAATGGATAGCTTTAGATAGTGTAATCAAGCGTTTCGAGTCCTAGAGTGCGTGTACATTCAGCTGACGAGTTCTATATAGGGCACGTAATGGATTTCACTACTAGTCATCACCCATTTCTGCTTGAAAATGTTTGCGACCTAACGGCAAGATCAAGACAATCTTAATAGGATCCATATATCCCTGAAGCAATGTTGGGGACGCACATGGTTGATTGACGAACTTATCGATTAAATGTTTAAAAGCTCCATGGCAATATCGATTACATATATTTGTATATATATTTAAATTGTGTTTGCGTGAACCGCTCGTTTTCTGGCTGTTGCAGAATATACTTCCCATTCTAATCTTGGACTTTTCCCTCTAGATTGCGGGGCTGGGACGTATCAGTAGCTAGCTTACTGGTCTTTGGTCACCGAGTCTTATTTTCTCGTTCGCAGATTAAGTGAACTCGTGATAGCTTCAAACCTAGCAAGCAACCGATCACTTGCAGTCCTAAGCATCAATGAAAGGATTCAAACAACAAATATATATGAATAACAAATTCATGTCTACAAAAACTAAAATAAAAGCTTATTGTGTGTGAATTTAATATGATATAATGTGGCATAATATACATCTTAACATAATATCTGTTAGGTATACTTTTGAAAATATTATGAACTTACTAGAAGGTAATAAATTCTCTGAGTCAAACAACTCAAGGATGAATATTTCACTCTCTAAGTAATACCATTCGAACCAATTTCCAAAAAATGTCATCTGTAAAGAATGATGTTTATTTGTCTTCATCACTTTTACTGGTGGTTTTTGTTATTACCCACCAATGTGTTGCAACTTGCTGTATACGCCCCATTGGTTATTTTTCTGACATGATTTCTGTTTTTTTCAATTACTTGTTATGAGTTTATTTCAAAAAGCTCGTTGTATACTGATTGACATGAGTGTCATGTTTATTTACATTCCTTGATCAATTTAATCAAAGTTTCTAATCAGTCGAAAAAGAACCTGTGTTTGCAATGAACCTCAAGATATAAAGCGAGTGAGGTGAAATTTATTTTTACCTAGACGAACAAGTAATTTAACTTCTTACAGAGTTAAAACGGGATATTTTAAGGCCGTAAAGATGGTTGGAGTTAATGTGTGGGAAGTCAGAGATCTAGCTCTTATTATTTGGCGAAGTTGATAGTCATTGTAGTATACGAACTTGCATTGCCCAGCATTACATTCAGCGATTTTACTATCAGTCTGACGTATTGTAGGACTGAGATATTAACATTGATTAATTACTAATTTGAAAGGATTGTCAAGTATCAGTAGTTCTTAACATTGGTTGAATTTTATCTACTAAAATACAATGAGGTCAAATAGTCTAACTGACTTTATACCATATGCCCTATTTTTAGGTGATAGGTGGTCGAAGCCAATTTGTAGAAAATCCTGAACATAAAGATAATATTTCCTGATAATCTGGTTTTATTTTATAGCGAACCTTTTGTCTTTTTTAAAAGAGTATCATTGAAATTAAACAATCTTCAATTATTATTCATTATCACTATAACTTTTTATCATTAATATGCAGACTATTTTAGAGAATTATTCTTATTATACATCTAATATAGCTGTTAAAAATTAACATTATATTTTCGGATTAAATAGTTACACATTAACAACCTGATGTTTAATTACTGATTTATTGTTCACTGCTTCAAATAAGTGGATTTAATAAACCCGGATGGATAGTACAAAAGCAGATGTTTCTTACATCAATCGACATTACCTGTCACTTTAAACTAACAATGATATGAATAATTAACGAGGTTTAATCATTTGAATCATATATTATAATTTGTTAGCAAGGTCAAAGTTCAAAAATTAATTTTATATTACGAATCATCAGACATATTACTAGTAGTGATTAATGTTATATGGAAATGTCTGTCTGTCTAAAACAGATTAAGGCTATAATCAAATATTTCAAGCTGTTAATTATTCTAACTCAGATAAAAGCAATCACCGCCGTAACTGATGAATTCTTTGTAATTTGTGATAGTCTGGGTTATCAGATTGACCGATCTACAAAGTTCATCTCTATCGTGAACGGACTTCATCTAAGGGAGCCATTCAAAATGCGTAAACCTTAGACAGCTATTTTGTTTTAATTGGACACCCTTTAATACTATTTGCCCATGATTCTACCAGAGATCGAACTCAGGGTCTTTAGAGAAATTACTATACTAATCTCGAAATCAACTACCTTCATAATCATCTAAACTAGAATTAGACGTGAACAAGAGATTTACATACCCTCGGAGTTGCAAAAAAAATGTCGATATATGCCAATATACATTCACTTACCTAAGTTCACTAAAATTAACGAGTTTGACAATAAACGTTGAATTCCAGTTGGACATTATCTATCACCGTACGCAAAATTTACTTTAGCCTTGAAAGTTCAGTACATGTCAGATATATCTGATTGACGGTAAACATCGTTCAAAAAGCGGTTTGTAAGAATCTATAGAAAAACTGATCCATTCATGATGAGGAATGAAAATAACAAATCCCTTGTTTTCCCTAGATTTCTATGTTTGTTTAACTCATCTCGGTCCATGATATAGACTAATAGAGAAAACAAATTTACGCATATCTTCTACATCATTAAGGTGATAAATACAGTCAAAGTTATATTTCATATAATTTCCCTCTAGGTGTAAAATTTCAGTTTAGACATAAAACTTCGGAGGGTAGTTATGCTACTAAGTCGTCAGATACAATATTAGTTGATGTTATATCTAAAACTTAGACTCTTGCTATACCGCGTGCAAATTGAGCACTAGAACGCCTGAACCCTCCAAGTCTCAAGTTAGAAGACAGAAGACTAGCGAGAAGAAATCTTATTCCAAATAGTATCAAATATGGCACAAAACACGCAGGTATTTATAGTTCTTAGTAAAAATTTAATCATTATTACGGGCATCCAATCCACGTGCAGTGGCTTTTAACATTTGTCCAATCGGGAAGTTACACATCGAGATTCCGGAACGTTCTTCCAAAGGATGATTGGGTGGAATATCTCCGACTTTTTCCGAGCTTCTTAGAGCTTCCTTGAGTCTTTTAGAGCTATATTCCCACTGTTAAATGTTTTTATTATAATTACTATTACATAATTGCAATCACAGTATTTTCATCTCGTTGAACTCAAGAGGTATGGTAACTAGGGCTAACGCACACCTTTACTAGGCTCAATGTTAACGGTGAAAACATTAATAATAATGACATTCAAGCGTGAATTAGATCCATACCAACATTATTTGAACAATCACTTAAAATTCGAAATCTTAAAACAGTATTTCATTAGTTTTTGAGTTTCCTTGTAATTACCTGTAGACTTCACTTACTAAACACACAGACATTTAAACAATTGAACTCAGTTGTAATGGAGAAAATATTCGTAGGAACTTCTTCTGAATCAGATAGAGTAGACCTTCTATATTACTCAAAACTCAATAATTATCTGGCTGATCTCACCATGTGATGGAAGCTATGTTAAAACATTTAATAAATTTATCACTTTACATTTTAAATTTATTGGGGTGATCCAGAAAACATCTCGCAAAAGACAAAAAAGGATCAGGAAACTCTAAGACGCATTTCATCCAATCAGCGTTCACTTGAAGTTTAGCCAGAAACATCAAGAAAGTGAAAAGTCACATTTAGAGTTTCTGATTGGTTGATTACTATACTCTGACTATGTTTAGTAGCATTGCAGAATGTTCGTGAAACTCAAGAACATCTAAAATACTATAAAACCCTATATTTTTTGTACGAGAACAAACCTTCGGAGTAAAGTGCTTCTAATACATTTAGTGCCTTTTCGCTCGTGTTCAGGTCGCTGTGTAGTTCTAGCTTGAAGGTTACGAGAATAGCTTAGCAAGACTTATCAAAATTATTACTACCATTCATTTTAACACCATAAATATATGACTATTTAGATAAACTTACTAAATGCACTTCTTTTCCAAAAAGATTAATAAATAAAACCAACAGTATGCATTCATAAAAAACGATCAAAAGAATCTAATGTAAAACAGTGAACTTTTTTACTCATTAATTGGGTAATTTATAGAGATTAGTTCGATTTAAAGATTACAATTGTCATAATCTAAGATCGTTTAAAGAACTACTGGGAAAACAGACAAATATAGTTTATGTTAAAAAAAGAATTAAAAGTATTTCGATATTTTAACTTAAACAAATGGAAGTCTGTTAATCAATAGATTTAGTTATTCTGTTTTCTTTACTTCTTTTCCTACATATTACTATAATATTTCTATTTACAGCATATACAAATGAATATCCATCCATACACTATCATCCAATGATTCTATCACAACTTGTTTATTTGTTTTTGAGCCAAATATTAGTCAGATTATTATTATTATTATTATTATTATTATTATTATTATTATTATTATTATTATTATTATTATTATTAGAATCAACATTGTGTTGTCTGGAATAATATTCCAGATAATTACTTTTATTTATAATCATATTTAGTTTTGAGTAGTCCTTTATCAAATCATTATGAATAGTAGTCATGTATAAACATGTTTAAAAAATATAGTAAGAAAAATATTGAACCAGTGATATATTATAAATTATAATAAGACACTTCATTTAATCAATAATTTATCTTGTCTCTTTAATCACTTTTGTTAATGATTATAATTTAGATAGTTAAAATCGTGAGCCAATTGAAGCTAGACTACCATGAAAAACCTGGAAGCATTGGATGGCCGTGTCGTCCTATTGTGGGACTCCTCAGCAGTGCACATCCACTATCCCTCCTCGTGAGACTCGAACCCAGGACATATCAGTCTCGCGCGCAAGCGTTTATAATTTAATTGTAAAACATAAAAATGACAACATTCTTATTTAGATTTGAAAAATTTTATTCTTCTTAACTATATGTATGAATTCGGACTGTGAAGCCAAGATTTTAATTTATCTGTGATGAATACTTTGGTGATCAATTTCTCAAATGACACTGTTTTGAAATTTAATTAAACAATAAGTTGGATGATACTTGAAATTCATACAACTACAATGATTATTGATACTATAAGTACCTGCCTGATCTATTTATATTTGTGAAATATTCATTATTAGGAAATATATTATTTTGATTGGATATTTGTTTACAACTATATATCATTTTTGCACAATAATTATATTTCCAAAAGGAGTTAGGGGATAATGAACAGTAAAATCAGTGTATTGTTACAAATTTGGTTAGCATAATTGTGATTAAATCCTTAAAAAATATCTTAGAGTTATAGTTACGTAAGAAACAAAAGATCGTCATTAAAAACTGATTATATCAATTGTAAATGAACTACTATAATACGTTTAAAGTAAATAACAGTGATCATCATAAAATTGATTTTGGAACATGTTACTCATAAGTAGTGTAAATATTTACGAGAAATAATTGGAAGTTTAGCATAAAGTGACATTAAATGAACTCTTTGACAACGAGCTAATTCTTAGAATATGTTTCAAATATCAGGTGTATATATTTTACATTAGAATATTTTTTGCCAATACATTTTGAATTATTTACGGTTTTCTACTCTTCAGTGAGTCGATCAAACTATTTATATGAAATTACCGATTTGGAGCATTATTAAAATACTAGATGGCCTCGCAATTTTGTGGACGGGCTGAAATTAGACAACACCGTTGAATGGAGGCTCAGTGATTTAGAGGTCATGCGCTCGCGCGGGGCTGAAAGTCCTCGGTTTGAATCCCAGGTGCGCAATTGCAGACGCGCATTGCTAAGGAGTCCCAAACTAGGATGAAACGGCCATTCACTGCTTACAGGTTTTCAATGGTGGTCTGACATTCATCGATTCATGATCTCAATCAAAACTCAACAACCTCATACTGGTAAAATCCTGTGGTTTATTGATGACATTAGAAATTTCGTCATTAAATTATTACGTTTCGCTATTTAATTCCTGTTGTTTCGAATTTATTTTATCCATTATAATAGCCGACTAACACTTACGAGTTTCTCCAGTCAACATTTTTTATTAAATGTTCCGAACAAAATTTAATCTTTTCATTCGCCTAACAAAGTTGTACTTTGCGTCACTAAACATTATATTTACTTAGAACGTTATTGTAATGTATTATTCATAAAGGTTGCTGATATTAGGGACTTCATTTGATCAGTATCTATTAGTATATGTACTTCCTGAGATCATTTCAATACTGCTTCTAGTCACAAATCTTAGTACATTTAGGTTATAAAATCAGTGAAATCCATAAAGTCATTCTAGTCCTATCTGAGACTTATCATGTGGGTCAGTTTATAAGGAAAAACTAAGTAGCAAATGTATTTTGCTTGAGTACATTTCGATCTGAACTCATTCCACTATAGTGAGCTGGAAATATCAAAATGTGCTATGTCGAGAAAGACATGTATTCAATATTCCATCCATTAATATAACGCGCTAGTAATTGCCGAATGGTTGTAATCTGATCCATTTTCATCTATTTTATTGATCCAGTCATCCCTGAAGTCATTTTGATTTCAGTTTAGACATGAGGGTAAATGCATTGCAAAGACAACGAACGACCCAGGAAAGCAGCGCTGTTACGTTTACGAAGTTAGACCTATAAGAATCACTTTCTGATAAAAGATTAATACTAATTACCAACTGTTATCACTTGTGTAACTACTGATATATTTCATCACTTCAATAGACTTTTCTATCGGCTAGTTTATGAGACTATAGATCTTAATATGGAGTTTAGTTCCTAAATGTCAAGTTCAATTCACTTGAAGTGTACCGATAAATTTCAGTATACTGAAACATGTCTGACAGATCGGACCAGTGATCAGGCTTTAGATCTAAGAATTATTCTTCGATGACAGATAGTTACAAAGTACAGAAATAGAGTAAAACTCGTGCCAACTGTCCGTCATATCACCCCGGAGATGTGTTACATATTAGAACAGTGAAAACATAGATAATTCATTGGAACATAAATAGCGAGAGATATCTAAATGACCATAAGGTAACTTCGGATTATTTTTAGCCTTGTACTGCTTACTGCCTAATCAAAGTATGAGTGAACCAACAATACACATCGGCCAAATAATTAAAAATTATAGATAAACCATGCAACGTAAATATCCCTTGTACATCACTCCAAGATTGTCAAATATGCTTTAAATAGCAGATTTTCAATTTATCAGCGTCTGTATATAAATGTCATTCGATGAATTTCATAAGGCATTATTACAATGGTTATCCTTATTTTAAGTATATTACATGGGTTGATGTCTCTCCATCGGTTATTTAAAAGTACTTCAATTTCATAGTAAACAAGTGATTGTTTAATGTTATGGACAAAGACATGGCCCCACCTCAAGAAGTCAGGGACTGTGAATGAGCCATGTTAATAGATAGAGACCACTTGGTTGGAGATGTCAGATTACATGGCTCAGAAACGTTTACAATAACAGATGTAATCATTCTTTGTCTCCCTTGTATCTTGATTTCAAAATTATTCTATACACGAATTCATATTTCCAAAATCATATTGTTTAAATCAAATCTTTCTTACTACCACTGATACTGTCATTACTTCTACTACTCTGTCATCTTGCTGTAGTGATGTGATTTGGCAACTTGAATTAGTGTCAGATTGTACATTCCTCATGACTAGTTGACCATATATATAAATCGATACGTCATACTGTTATGAAGCCTAATGTAAATAAAACGTAAATGAACGAAATAGTGAACATTACCGCAAAAGTATTATTAAATAGAGCACATTGATGAATACAAAAAACAGATTCATATATAATAACAGAAGAACCGAATTCTTTAACAGAAAATACCTTAACAGACATACTATTAACAGTTTACACGTCTATTTCTCACAAGCTTTATTTACATAATACAAGCAAACACACATCCTTACATCTTATTAAAATGTAAGTAATCATAACTCGATTTAAATAGGCTGAATTGCTTGGTCTTTAAAAAAGAACACGAAAAATCATCCACAATGTGTAGACAAACAAACAACAACACAATATTACAGTGCTTGTGTATGTGTATTAACAAATTAATAATTGAGAGAAAAATAATAAACCTGTATGAATAACTTATCTGATTATTAATAATCATTATTGTATAATGAACTATACACATTTATATATATATATATATATATATATATATATATATATATATATCAGTTAAGGGAACGTTATTAAAATAAAACGGAAGAAATAGGAAAACTGAATTTTTTTAGAATTTTAACTGGAAGATTGAAAGAGAAATAGCAAAGTAAAGACGGAGATAAAAGGATAACGCTATTAAACAAACACTATCAGTGAGTGTATGCATATATATATATATATATATATATATATATATATATATATATATATATATATATATATATATATATATATATATATATATATATATCTTCAGAAAGTACAACTAAACAGTAGCGGTAGAGGGGATGGCGACGACAACAACATTACAACACAGTTAAGAAAAGTAATGACACAAAATAACAAGTCAACAAACTTGAATCGAAAAGTTACACAAATTTCGAACTAACGTGTACCCCTTCATTATCTCTCTACAAGCCTATGCAATATAGGCGATAAAAACAAGTTGGATACACGAACCTGAGAAAAAATTATAACAATGACACAAAGGGGAAGAAAAGCAAATGGAGAAAGAAGGAAAAGTAACAAAGAAACAACTTTGATTGTTTGTTGTTCGTTCTTGCCGGTCAATTTTTCTGGTAATGTGTATGTACGCTACATAATAACAATAATAATAATGATAATAATAATAATAATAGTAAATAGTGTAGTTTTATACAACGTAGAACAATTTGTTAGTTAACAGAAGAAAAAAATTTGAATGATCACATCAAGAGAGTAATGTGCATATTGATGTGGAGATGTATGTCGACTTGCTTGCTTTCTTAACAAAATTCTGAACAGCACAGAATAGAACAGACAAAAAACGGAACAGAAACAAAGAGATATAATACACAATCGAGATGAGAATTAGAAAAGAAAAAGTGATATAAAAATGCATGAGAAATATGATTTTGAAGGGTGGTAGATAGGTAAGTAAATATATGTATTGAAAGGAGAACAAATTGCAAGTAGAAACGATATTGACTTCGTAAATTATGATTATTTTTTCTTCGTAGCATCAAAAACAACATCAATGTGATATGACATAAAACAGTATAATATTTGTATGTGAATATTAACGTTTACATTTGATTGACTAGAAAATAATGACTCGTTTGTTGTTACTGTTGTTGTATGGTTTTTTGAACTACTAATGCTGTTATTTAATGTGTGCGTATGTGCCGGTGTTCTGTTACCATTAGCGTCGTACACAGAATAGCACATATTAATATACATGCACGCACTAGCACCAGTAAGTAGAACATAAAAAGCAACATAGAAAAAACGAAAAGCAACTAGCGCATAGATAGAATTAGTAAATTATTTCATAGACAGTAGCTTTACGATCACCAGACCCAGTGACTAGGAGTTTGTCATCTAGTGATATGTCGCAACTCAACACAGACGAGTTTTCTTTGACCTAAATGTAATAATAACAATAATACAAGAAAATAGAGAAAATAGTGAGACAATCAGTAAAAAATGGAAAAATTCGAAATGATATAATCATTGTAAAACTAAGAATGCCATTTAAGTAATAACACCACCACTACCACCACTACTACTATTACTACTACTAACAATTCTGACAATTGAACAGTGTAAATGATTTATAAAAAGGTATTTAAGCGATATAATGGTAGTTTAATGGTAAATAATTACTAGTTATCCGCATAATTCCTATCATAATACATAGAGGATAAGAAATAAGCGGGCAAAATTTTTAATCGCCCTCAACTTACTAAATTAGAACCAGATTAAATACCATTCTGGGATAAAACAAGAGAAAACTCTCTTACATTGAATATGATGGATCGAAGAAAAGGAAAACAGAACATTGTTTTTAGGTTAAAATATGTTATGCTTAGAAATATGCTTTATTTATAGTATGAACCTGTGAGAAAAGCCATTGTCTATGAGTATTTTTGTTTGATTCTAATCGATTCTTCATCAATAGTGTCATTTATAAAAGTTCTTCTAGCGCTCAAGAATAAAGAATGTATTAACTGTCCCTTCCTGTTCAACAGAAATAATCTTGGTAGATTAGTATACTCACAGTTCTAAGACTAACAAATCACACATGTATCCATCAGATAATCGAGAGCAATAGTTAGAGAATTTTTTACCAGTGTTTCATTTAGGTCAGTACTCAAGAATAAGATGTGACAGCGAGCTTTTAAAATCAAAGCTAATAAACAATAATGCTGAGCTGCACAAGTCGTAAATAACCGACTACCAGAAGTTCAGTTTTATCGAAATAGTAGATAAATCCAGCTAACTAGACTGAAAATACGAAATCGAATGTAAAAAAGCCTGTTAAATGTCTACAAGTGGACCAACTCACTAGGTCAACCAAAATCTTTGGTAAATCAAATCCTCCTATGAAAACATAAAAGACTCAAAATAATATAGAAGGATTAGAACCACCAATATTTATGACAACCCATTAAACTATGGAAACGTCGAAGTACTACCTAAATATAATTGAATTTAAATTGACATGCGAGACCGAGTAGAAAAAAATTACTAATTGGGTTGAACAACAGTAACGTACTAAAAATAAGTCAGTATGGCTCGTTTTGAATTATATGACGAACAAACATTAAAATTATATCAGTTTTAAGACTCTAAAACTCATTGCATTAGATATTTTCTCAACGTAGTTTTATAAATAGGTAGGAAATTTATACTGAATATAGAACTGACCTGAAAGAGGTTAGCACCATAAGGAGTTCTCCAAGAGTATAGACAATGATCTTTACCAGTGGAAGCAAACCATAAACCACTGTGAGCGAATTTAAGAGACAAAACACAACTTTCATGCAGCGATAGTTGATAACGTTCTGGACGACCAGGACCGAACACTTCAACTTGATCTGTTTCCAATCCAACAGCTAACCAATCTCCCGTTGGACAATAGCCAAGGGAAAATATTTGAGCCGACAAATCAACTTGACTTATTTGGCAATGCTCCCGTAAGTCCCAACAACGTACAGTTTTATCTAAGCCTCCACTCCACAAGCGTGTTCCATCTGGACGGATATCCACACAAGATGCCCCTTCAGCATGTCCTTGATACTGACGAACTAAAATACGGTTATGTATATCCCAAACACCAATATTTCCATTTGAACAGCAGCTAGAACGATAAAGAATGAAAGTATGGTGTAATCAAGAAATAGAAATTGCCGTAAGATAGTAAAATAATTTGACAGAACAAGAGAATAATGGTTTTGTAATTATTTGTCACAAGTACAGTAATCAATCACAATTAAAAATCCCTATTATTAGAAAAACTATATTCAAAGCCGATGATTTATAAGAAAACTGTATAGGAATCCTAAAACATACATAGACTATTTCCTATGCATCGAAATTCTCCTCTCTGTACTACTCTACGGCTATGAAACACGGTCTTTGGAAGTAAGAGACAAGAGTAGGCTTAAAGTATTTGACAACAGATATCTTCAAAGTATTGTCGCATATCGTGCAACGGTCGAGTAAATTTGAAGTTAGGTAAAGGGTGCTAGGTAAAGATAGAATGTCGGTTGATGATAATCCGAATTCTTATCGATTGATGTGGTAGATCGTGTATTACTTATGTCTAACCACTGCCTAACTCGATAGGTGATGTTAGCTGGTGGTATAGGCAGATTGAAAGAAAGCAACCAAAGTAAAATATGTCATAAGTCAATGAAATCAATGACTGTTGTTCTGAACCATGTTGATGAATCCGTACCACTTGGTCGGGATGAACGCGAGAACCCTGGTTAATGATTGGAAATTTCGAATGAACTGGTTCAGAATTAACCACAATGATGTAGATGCAGTCAATCTTTATTTTATTTTAAATACAGATGCAACTAATAGCAAAATATGATCAATGTATTTTACAGAATTTGAACAGTTATAACATAATATTCTGTAGAGGGAAAAATTGTCAACTTGCACACATTATCAGCTTGTAAATCTAGAATACAGAATGTTGTATAAATGAAGGTGAATTAAACAATAAAGTAGGTAGTACTCTATAAATATACTACTTACAACATACTAACATTTAATTAATAATTAATATCTACTAGTAATTAATAACTACATTGAAACTATTCATTCAAATTTAAACGGAAGTTTTTATAAATATACTAGTATCTAGTGTATACAACCACTTTTTTAAGTTTTATCTAAACAGATTTCTAGTACTAAATAAATATTTTGAAAATAGTATCAATACAAGTAAACAATATATTATTAAAGAATTATTATAGTGTATGACAAACTAGCAATAAATTGTTTTAGTTAGACATAAACTTTGTAAACAATATAAGAAATGTGCAAATTATTAGCATCTAAACATTGCATAATAAATACACAATATGTATTTATTTTTATATACATAAAAAAATGTGATTTTTCTCAAAATATTCGTCCGTTTCTTAATGTAATGAATATTCTAATATTACTTTAGATTATTTAAAAAACAAGAAGCCTCAAAAAAAAAATCAAAATAGTATATAAGACTATTAATCAACTTAATAAAACTTTCAAATGACTAGTGAACTGATCATTGTGTACAGTTTTAATGACGAGACAAAAAAAAGGAATCCATATCAGACAATTTATCATTGTTCACTAATCAAAAACATACTTAACTATTTCAGAGAATATGTAAGGTGTGTATCTTCTCATACGCTATAAACTTTTAAGCGTATCAGATCATGTTTATTAATTATGAACTTTAAAGGTGTGCACAACCAAGAAAAAGTGATCAATAAATAAATCAAATACTAAGATTATTAAATTAATTACTAGATAAGATTATGACACAAACATTTACCAACCTTACAAAAACCAATCAAAAGAGAAATTTTGCAAATACATAATGATCATAAATAATAGTACATTATAATTACCTGAAGCATAATTTACTATCAGGCGATACAGCCAAAGCATAACATGCTGGAGCTGTAAATGTAAGTTCACTTTTTGGATGAGGACTAGCTTGACCCAAATCCCATATACTTAATATACTAGATTCGCCACCTACAACTAATGTTCTTCCATCCTACATTTAAAAAAAAGGAAAAAATTGAAAAAATTTCTTGTTAACGACTAAAACTCCTTCATCTATGGAAATCCTAATATTTAAATTTATAATGATAAGTTAATTAGGAAACAAAAAGTATAAGCAAGAGGCATATAACATATTGAGAACAAGTGGGGCTTAAATTCGTTAGCTGAATTTTAACCGGAAAGTTAGTGATTCAAATTCATTCTAGCTTATTTAAGTTTGGGGAACCAGGGGATGATCATGGTGAGTTTACGTAATGTACCCCTTCCCACTGGCGACCGAAAATTGTTATAACGAAGCAGATGTTTCCAAAATTGGTACTAGTTTTTAGAATTCTTATTATCATTGAATTATTTTACAATTACTAGGTAATTAGATTACTATTCATATGTATTTCATCTACCATACGCTTTTGGTTAACTTATTCACTACTGTTATATAGCTTATCAATCCCAATTTGTTCGCAGTCTATTACTTACGGTCTCCCCTACTTACAGCCACTTTGGGCTTGTTTTTTTATAATTAGTGTGATGCGGTTCAGTGTTTCTTTATAGAAACTACGTCCATTTCAAATATAAATATGGTAGAGGTTGGTTACCACCTTTGGACTCGAGGTAGGACACAGAAAGCAGATTGCGAATAACGGACCAGTAGGAACTAAACCATCGGTTCAGAGTTATTAGTGCTAGTCAAGCGTGTAATGGGTCAGTTTGGGGAAACTAGGCTTTCGAGGCAACAGTACATGCAAAATAGACCAAACTAGAGTTAGAATCCTGATTGATGACTCGACACGTGACACATTAGTCAGGGATATTAAGATAACGAAAATAAGTTGCGCATTTTAATGAGAAAAACTAAGAAATTTCTACGTTAACCAAATTGGTACTTAACCCTACACAATTTCTATCAATCGACCTGATTATTTCTTTGTCATACTTGAAGATTATCTATCTAACACAACTTGCAATCTGAACCTGTTTCAGTGATATTTTCTCATCATCGGCTAAAAACCCTAGAAAAATCCATCGTGTCCTTTTAAAAAAGCTTCTCTAAACATAAAGGGGAAAAAAATAAAGCCGGAAATCATTAGATACATGCGCAACAGTATTATTGTAATCCACTTGTGAGATTATTATCGATAAGAATTTGTTAATAATAATAAAATGGGTAAATAAGAAAAAGTAATCTGAATTGAACGCAACTTTTCCATAATTCAATTTAATCTACTTTCAAGTAGTATGAAAAATCTGTCACATTTTTAACGGTATTGTTAAAGGTGAGCGTTACATAAAACTTTCAAGTTGAAGTCCCATTTTAGGAATAGCGTATATTTGTCTTAGAAGTTAGTTGGTTGAATGATTGAAGTTTGTGAAAATACTCCATTGTGCAATAGTTTAATTAACTAAGTTTAAAAATAATTCCGGAGTGTGTTAGGTAATAAACGCTATACTGTTAATAGGTTAATTTATAAATTTTATGTAAAGAATTCACTATTAACTTCGTTTTAGAATGCAAACTAGGACACTTTTTAAGATATTTACTGTATATATCATCCTTCCAAAGACTTGACAGACTATAGTTCTGAGTACAGATACACATATCTGTATAGACAAGTAAAAAATGTAACTTCAAAATAAAATCAAATAGTTTTTGGTGTTCACAAAAAAAACAATTAATATCCAACAAACATTCAGACATGGTAAATATAAGACTATTCTACAATTTACTTGAGTTAATTTAATCGATCGTATGTATTTATCTCTTTGTAAACACTCGAGACTTGTTATACACGTTTTATTAGTGATGATTGGTTGACCTGAACTTCCACCGCAATTCGGAGATTGATTAGATGTGGTTGAATTTAAATCCCATAGTTTAACAGTGCCTTTACCTCCAGTATAAATCTGATGTGTAGCATTGTTAATTGTAACAGCACAGACAACTTCTCCGTGATCCAAACAATGTATCGCTTTTGCTTGATGCGGAATACCTGGACCAAAGAAAGCATCTGGAGTGAATGGTACAGGAGTTGGTGATTGGTTATCCAAACGAAGAAATGAATATGGTCTACAAGATCGGAATCAAGAAATATATATATATATGTATATATTCGTTATTAATGACAAATTGTAATGCTAAATGTTCGTTTACAAACTACTGTTAATGAAGAATAATTGGACAAATTTTGTATATATTTCAAATAGTAACAGTAATTTTCCATATCCATCCAGTATGGATATATAAAGATAGTTTTAGAAATGTTTCAATAACTGAAGAATTATCTTAACAGAGTAAATTTAAGGAATATTTATTTAGCTTACTGATATTCATAAACACATCAAAATAAAAATCAAAACCACAACATTGAAAGATGAACAAAACATTCTTTTTTTTCTGCATTGAACTAAGTATAAAAATCTATATGAAGGCTTTCAATTTCCACATTGTTGATATGAAAAACTTCATTTAATCAGTAACTATTGTTAATATATTTTCTTTATAAGACAACTTTTATACTCCCTACAGTTACAAGTTTTCAGTACATTTAAACTACAGTGTGTAATGAGATCCAAGATGCTTTGGTTGTCTTCCAATGATGATATAGACAGTTAATATATAGATGAGTATGAGCTACTAATAAAATAAACAAATACAAGCAATAGCCAATTATATAAGCGATTTCTATAGTATTTATTAATTTACTTTCATTTATTTCAGTTTTTCCATGATTTAACCTATTACATAAATATATAAACATCAGATAAATTAACCCGAGTTAACCAGACAAACTTAATTATACAATGGTTCAAATGAACATGTACAACCCTTACTGCTGATAGTTCGTACATGAAATGAATACCCATAAGATAATGTATTATTTTCCTAGAATAGATCGAACGGGTAAGTTTATAGACCTCTTGTTTAGAGAGAGTTCTAACAAATTATATATATGCGCACACAAATACATACAATTTAGTTGATGTAATAGAAAACAGAAATTATGGGTTAAACCAAGTACACCATACAGATAAATGCACATTGAAGTGAATATACACAAATTCCAATTATGTATACAGAAAAATGAACAAGTATATAGTGATGTGATTAGAACACAGACAAAGCAACTTGATATCTGAAAAGGTTGGGTGTCGAAAGGAAATAAAAGTAAGGAAGGTGGTAGGGAGAGATAATGGACGGTCTAACAACAGACTGTTAGGAGAATGTCACAATGTAAACTATAAAAAATACTCTATTACTCTTGACCGAAAGTATATTGACATTGTTACTAGAACGAAAATTTGGTGGAGAGACGAAGATATTTCCTTTATCTACAGTCAGAACAGACACGAACATACAGACAAACAGGAAGTATACCATAATCAAAGAGGGATAGAGAAAAGTGAATATCAACACAAAAAAATGAATAGTGGAGGGGAGTTAAAGTGGTAATGACAACTTAGGTGATAAATCCGAAGGGTGGTTGGTGAAATTACAAACGTAAGAAGAAACATGTGTTATGTTTGAGTATTACTTTAGGTTGGAGAGACAGGAATAGACAATTAAAAAACACAGAAACAGTGTAAGGTGGGGAGGGTTGGCATACAACGTAGTAAGAAAAACGGTGTTCTGTAATTAAGACTTTTAAAGGAGTTCTTTTTTTAAGATGATCGCATAAAAACGTTTGTGGTGGTGGAGGGTAGAAGATGCATCATCTAATGGCCAAATGTAGGTTAAAGCAGAAAGAGATGTTTAAGTAGGAGCATAGCAAATATAAAGAGTGAAAGAAAAAAGAAACTGAAGACATTACATTATACAAGCTAATCGAATAGTATAAAACTGGCAGGTACAAAAAGCATGGGACAATACACACTTCCAAACAAATGCTGCTGACAATTCAACTATGTATGCATATATGGCGGGGCAGTAAGATGGATATAGTTTTTAAAAAAACATACAAAGAAGAAGGTTCAGAGCGGGTTGGGGGTTACGAATTTGATGCAAATAAACAACGATACGTGAAATATAAGAGAAAAAGGGGAAAAGTAAGGAGACACGAGGGAAATAAATAAAATTTTATTAAAAATAAAAATATTTTTTCTCAACAGAAAAAAATCTCTTCGCTATAAGTGTATCAATGGGAGAGAAAACAAAAAACAGAACAGAATATTGGCAAATCTATAACATGAGAATATATTAGTAATAAGATGACAGACTTGTTGTTGTTGTATGTCGAAGCAAAGCTCTCTATAAGAGATTAGGACATACAACAACAATCATCTCTTCAGTGAACTGAAAAAAACTCAAAACACTATAGTTTGATTATATAAATATGAACAAAGAATATTTCCAGCCCAAAGAGACAGTAGATAAAATAGTAAATAAAAAGCATGACAGAGATCTCCTTAATTCGAACGACCTACACAAAATTATGAAGCCGATTAGAAAAGTGATGTGATTAAAGGGTACTAGATTGAATAGATTTCAGTATTGTGATCATATTAGCTAACAACAAACGTATATAAGAAGAGTTCATCGAAGTCAACAACTTACGGTCTACCAATATTCGAAATTCCACTCATTCCAGAACTACCAAAATTTGTATCAAACATCATCTGACAAGTAGAGGTGGAAAAATAAAAAAATATTTTAAATGAAATATAAATAACACTGGTAAAATGACACGATGTATATAAATTCTAAAAAGAGTATGAAAATCGAATTTACTACATGGAAAAATTCTTTAAACAAAAGTAAAACTTTTGAATGCATTCCATGGAATTTGATACAGATTTGCAAAACATAATAAGTTAGGATAAATTTTATAAAAGGACAGACAGTTCTATATCCTCTCAACAATTTCATATCATTAATAATCATATTGATTTGGATGACATCCCGGCTCATCAGTTTAACATTAAACTAACTGATTCAGCGAAATAGAGTATACTAATTGTCTTTATTATGAAGTAGTATATTGTAGAAACACAAAATAATGAAATTGTTTCGTTTCAAACAGTAACAAAATTATAAGTGCTTATTAGAGAATGAAATAAGACACATTTTAACAACCTCCAATATTAGAAAAACAGCACAGGGATGATCCAACACTTTTATTTCGTTTACTTAAACATATCGTTCCAAATAATCAGTTGAACAGAGAAGAATGGAATATAAGAGTTAGAAAATACACGTGAAGAGAAAATATCAACAAGAAAATTACACGGGTATGGGGAAATTCTAAACTTCCACCATATTGGGGATGTTATTGATTAGAAAAAAACAAAGAACTACATACAAACACAATAAAACTGACAATGAATACAAATGACACAAAAATCGCTAGAATACTATTGTTTACTCTATATGATACTAATACACATAAAGAAAACTGGTTTGACAATCTTTTTTCTACGCAATTGATTGATTATTAAATAGTGACTAAAGTTATGTGTGTCTAGTCCATTGGTGTTGATCAAATTGTTTGGCCTTATTTAAATTCACTAGAGGAACAAACTACATGAATTTTATCAATCAAGTTAGAATGTAGCCATTAGCCTAAATAACTCAATATTGCGTTTACTACGTTGAGATGTTAAGTGGTTGGAGGCAGTCGCTAGAAAAGTCAGGGACAATTTTTATGCTAGTAGACATTTATCAACTAAGAATGTATCTGCAAACTTGAGGGGATCGATGCATCTTTTGGATTTCAATTACAGGTAAGCCTTGGGAAGGAATATTGACTAGGACAAAACTTAAATCCAGCGTATCATATTAACTACGTCCTACCACTATTAAACATTTACTCTTCTCATAATTAACGGATTAAAACATTTCTACGTGTCATTGAAAAGCACATTAAAAAGTGGGATAAATGATTATCCCACTATAATTTTGGTATATATAAAAGTACTATAATACAGTAACGACGACAAAAATATGGCAATGATTATTGAAAAACTATATATATATATATATATATATATATATATATATATATATATATATATATATATATATATATATATATATATATATATATATATATATATCAACACTTGATTGTAATACAAATACTTGACACCAAAGAAAATAAAACGAAATATGTAATTCTGACTTCATTATTAAAGCCTAATCTCATGATGATCGCTCACTTACTAGTTAGCCAATTATTAACTAAAATGCTGATTATCAGTGCCCCTCAATATTCATTCTTATTTACTTATACTATTCGTATTAAGTGCAATATCAACTTTCTACATACATATATAATATTTCAAGTTTAATTACAGAACTTAAAATCATACGATATACATTACTAAGATATTATCTGTGAATGTTCGAATAACAAACACATACAAGAGTACTTGAATAGTGAAAACATGTTAATAGCTTTAAAGTATACTGTATTATAAACATATCTATTAACCGAAGCTAATTTCATTGAAATCATGAACCGATCAATGTTAGATTAATGAACCTTAACAATCCTAACAACCCTATATAGTGATAATTATGCGGTCACAAGTAGTAACTATCTTCGAGAGGTAATTCTAGCAGTTACAGTGAGAAACCGTGACCAGGAGAGTTCAACTGTGTAGGGTGTGTGGCAGTTACCCACGAAAGACAATGAGAGATGGTCGCACAACATTATGAATTGATTGGAATTAAACACCGTTGAGTGATGACTTAGTGGTCTACAGGTCAAGTGTTCGTGCACGACACCGAAGGTCCTATGTTCGGTTCCTGTGTTTGTGGTTGATGTGCACTGATGAAGAGTACCGTACTACGACGAAACGGCCGTCCAGTGCTTCTAGGTGTTCAATAGTGGTCTAACATTGATCGGTTTATGACCAATGAAATTTAACAATCTTCACAACCCTATACTGATGAAACTAATTCATCATTGCGATAAAATCAATGTATAGGAAAACCATTGGTATTTCCCAGAAAAGCCTCAATGTCCATATACGCAAACTTGTTGCAATTCAGTACCAAACTACAGATGTCGATATGCCCATCAAACTAATTTTATGTTGACAGTGGACATTATGAAGGCTAATTTACGATATTGTTCAATAATGACTGTTGGACTAAATAAAACTTGAGGGGGGGATAGCACTAGTTGTCAATATAACAACTCTAAAAAAACTTGAGATAGGATAAAGAAAGGAGGAAAATAAATTAACTAACTGTATCTTGCGTTTACAAATAAAAGCTAGAAAAAAATGAATGCGCTGATTCTATGTAGTCGATTTCAAATCATATATTAGCAGGTTTTTCAACATCTGTGCATACGTTGGGGGATCCATCAAGTAAAAATCGATAATTCCTTAACTCATGCTTCACATACTAGCAATTCTAATGGTTGTCATCAGTAATGAAAAGCATTTTGCAAATAAAAATTAGTATGCTAATAAGATTCCTCTGAAATAAACCCATTTAAACTCTGCTGTACAGTTTTCCCCAGTGTACATGCAATTAGTAATTAATGAAACAAAAATAAGCCATTCTCAAAATAACGAAACAAATAGATGTTAGTTATTAGCTGTGAAAGAACCAAGAATTTGAAGAAGTTTTAAAACGCTGGTTTAGTAGGATCGAAGCATCTTTTCCACTTAAAAACTGGAACCATTTTCCACCATTCTGAATGGTAAATAATAATAAATTAAACATGAATGACTGAACGTTTATAAAGGGGAAAACAACGGGCTAAAAATTGGAACGATATTGTGGAAAATGTACTCGTTCCATAGAAAGTCACCAATATATTAATATAATGTATTCAGGTGACATGTGGCTATGTAACCATGTGACAACTGCCAACAATTCAGTCAATTAAGAGTTCAGGCATTTAAACATCAATTAAGTTGGGGAAACAATAGTTGGTGTTACACAAATTTACTTATGGTTGTTAGTTTTGCAGTTATCAAACTTTATTTATAGAAATATCCAGAGTTGCTGAAAATCAACTTTTCGACTACAACAATAAATATTTTGAGAAATTATAAGCTTATAAAATGAAAATTGGGCAAAACCAAAGTTTCTCGCAAAGCAGCATTAAAAAAGATAAATTGTTCGGTATACATAAACTACAAAATTAGGAGATGAATATCAGATAGACGTAGTTACGTAACAAACTGATTTCGCATAAATAATAATATTTATGTTAATTTTATCTAACACAATAGAGTAGAAACAATGACGATGACAATCATGCATCTAGTCTGAAAGTGAGAAGCATCATGGTGAAAAATTCATGAGGACAAAGAACCACTCAACCTGAATAACTACATCTTGAAGCATATTTAGATGACAAAGCACCAATAAAACAATTACTACTACATATACGCAGGCATAATACTAATGTACTTACCCAGGAAATAATATAGAATAACATAATAATTTTTCTCAGTGATACATTGATATACCAATAATTGATTGATATGCTAAGTAGTAGTAGCTCGTACCGTATATATATATATATATATATATATATATATATATATATATATACTCTTTATTCATTAATATCTTCATGAGAGTGGTAGAAGTTAGTCTTTTTGCTTGTTTGTTTGTTTTAAATGACATGGCATGAGAGTGTGTGTATGGGGGAGACTATGTGAAAATACAAATATAAGTAGGTAAGTTAATATATGTGTTTGTATGTTGATGAATTTACAAGTTGGGAAATATATTCTTAAGGATTTTTTCGTAACCTAATCCTGTTCTTTATCAAAAGAATATGAGTGAAGAATCAGTCCCAGCTATTGAATATGTTAAGTACAACCATAACCAATAATAATAATATACAGAGTATGTAATCAGAAGCCTCGTTAGATGCGGCTCCATAAATAGTGGAAATATTTATATAAACTAAGGTTTTCTTTTTTATTAGATATGAAGGCATCTTTTATACATTGCAGATTATTAAAATGAATAAAAAAGTTAAAGGCTAATGCGTACACAAATGAATGTTCAATCACATATTGACTAATCAATGGACATAACATTGGCTTAAAGAAACACAATTTCAACAACAAATGGTTATCTACATAGTTCTTAATTATCAGAAAACAATAACTACATGAAATAGTTTATACAATCACTTTAGAATTTTGTCAGCAACTGTAGCTATTAGAGACTAATCATTCCTATTCTATCATCTAAAATAAACGAAGAAAATATTAATCAAATTCATACGCCACGACGACTATATGATATAAATGTAATTTGTGAAGAAACTCTATAAGCAAGTCTACCACGTTTCCGTATTTGTAATCACAATCCTAGTGTGAAGAATAATGATACGATCCAAGCCTCGAAGTTAAATTAAATGTAAAATGAATGAATATGAAGCTTAACAACGGAAGAGAGTAGAGGGGATTTAACGACGTGACATAGAGACCTCTGAGTTAACGACCTGAACAAGTAAAACATATTACTCGGATCGGCATCCTATTAAAACTTCGATAACAAGATCGTGAAACAAAGAATTGTAAAAATCAGTATAGGGAGATGGCAGATTGCTGGCTCTTCTAATTTCCATTGACAATTTTCGAAAACTCTAGTAATAATAACCGTGTGGTCAACAGTGACTAGTTTCAGGAGGTAATCCACGAGTTCTAGTAAGGTCGTGAGCAATAAAGCCCAATTATATCTGATGTGGGGCGGTTTACCACTGATATTATTGGAAGATAGTTGTGAAATATATAGAATAGGCTGAATGTAGGTATGTAAATCACTGGATGCCAACTCAATAGTCTAAAGGTTAAGCGCTAGCAACAAGACTTGTAGGTTGTGGTCCAATTTCAGGTGGGGTTGTGGATGTGTACTGCTGAGGAATTATATACTACGAATAAATAGCTGTCTAGTGCTTCCTGATTTCCAATTGTTATTTAACAAAGATTAACCCGTGGTAGGAACTACAAAATTGTACAAATTAGCACAATTTCACAGATGTTGTACGGCAGGCTAACATTTACTGGTTTTAAAGACAAAAGTTGAAAATAGTGAATGGCACAGTGAGGTCTCGAAACGAAAATATATACACTATGCCAGATGTCAACATTCAATATAAAGACTACTCAAAAATAGAAAAAATATTAAGAATGCTATTATAAATAAATTAACTTTATATTGTAGAAACAATTACAACAATAATAGCAGTACCTTTTGAGAAATCTACATAAAGAAAGTAAGAAAGAGGAATTTAACCATGGCTTTAACAGCAGGTCCTGTATTTTCAATAAAATAATACTTACTGTCGATGACGACGATGTTGTTGTTGATAGTGGTACTGAAGGAGGATTTTGTTGTGTAGATGAAACTGAATGCCCATCAGGATTTGGTGTCAATGCGTCAGAAGTAAGATGTGGCGGAGAAAGAGAAACAGCACCAACACCAGGTAGATTGACACCACCACCAGCACCCATTGAAGATAAAGGACTAGGTACTGATAATTCACCTAAAGGAATGTAAAAGAAACTATACTTCGATATACATATATAACCTCATATTCATAGGTATGTATTACCATAACTTACCGTTCATATTTCGCAGGAACAATTTAAAAATATCGATCATGTCAATATGCAGAACAATGTATGAAGCCATAAATCGTTAATCTTCGACAATATTCAAATGACAATTAATTTAGTGTGATCTTATTCAAGGAAGTCATCAACTTTTAGCTCCTTGAAACGATGCATTTTGTCATATTCAAATGAATTATATAACGAAGATGATAATCTATCGAAATTTATCAAAGGGACTAATACCTTTAAGATAATTCATACTCGCTTCTTGAATGATGCTTAAAAACTAATAGAAGATTCCGATCCTAAAATAAGGATGATTATCTACACTTGAAAGCAATTGACTGATTAGATGATTTAATATAGCAGAAGATTAGCATAAAAACTAATTTCGTTCACCGAAAGAGGTTATAGAAATTTACATGGTTAGCTTTATATATTCTTAACAATGACGATCTATAAAGCTGTTGTAAAAAAACAAAACTAAAACATAAATATATACTGCACATAACAGCGCATTAGACACATAATACTAATACTATTATTATTGCCATTATTATTATTATTATTATTATTATTATTATTATTATTATTATTATTATTATTATTATTATTATTATTATTGAAAAAGAAACCCGTCCCACACCCACTTCAGTAGTGTATCAGGACAGCTGATCAAGCAATATTATAAATGAAACTAGCCGACTAAATGATAGCTTCAATTTCCCCCACTACCACCACCTACCTACTTTACTTCTACATCATATTATTTATTATTGCCATCCCAACTAGGTCATGAAAGCTAACATAACAACTACCACCCCAATACGATTTTGTTCCAGTTACTGACCCAGGCTACGACGACATAAGAGTGGAGAGAGAGAGAGGTGAGGTGAAGGCGCAATTAGAATTGTGTTGTTTTTGTTGTTATCGCTGCTAGTACTGATGTGATATATAGAATAAAGGCATGCTGAGTCGGATGGGACTTATAATATATACAAGATAGTGGTGACGGTGATGGTGGTGTACGATATAAAACTGAAGGGTGGTGAGATATATGTCTAATCGATGAAGGAAAATGATGGTGGGGACAAGACAAGGAAAATAAAAAACAAAGATGAATTGTATTTGTTAGGAAGAGAGAGAGAATGAGAGCAATAAGGCAAATTTACGGTATGTACACACCTCACAAACCAAATGGCATGTTAACACAATAGGGTGGATGAATGGATAGGAAAAAGAAAATAGGCTACTTTTGTTATTATGTGTAGTGATAGACCCTAAAACGAAAGGTCTATATATATATAAGCTTTTACAAGGAATGTGTGTTTAGAGGAACTGCATACATAAGCGAACAAACATTCGTATAGGTGTGTACATGTGAGTTGACACACACAAGCATACAAAAGATATACATTATCTTTTTCATACATAAATTCATGTATGTACATATTATTGGGTGTGGGTAGGACCAAAAAGAGATATAGAAAAACAAAGAAAAGAGATGCGGATAGATTGACTACATAAATTGCTATTAGTCTCAATAATTTTTATGTTAGAGAGCTTGTTTTCAATTCTCGCGACAGTTGAAGCTTATATATATACATATCTATATACATATATATATCCATAGTGGTGTCCAACGATTTTACATACTAAGGGAATAGTATAAGTTAGACGTGATGTTTATGTGGTTAATTTATTTTTACGATACAACCGAAAGAAGAAAATAATATTTGCAATCTCATCATGCACACATAAAAAGCACAAAAGATTAAATGAACTAATCATAGAACCATCTGATGGCCGATCAGCATTATTATCATCTTACCTCCTGCCAAAGATGAAATTGAACCTATTCTGCATGAATTCGATACGTTTGTAGTGCTAGCAACTACAGGTGATAACGATGATTTAACATTGGATGTAGTAGTATGTTGTTTATTATGAAATGTCCCAGTCAAAGGAGGAGCAGGAGGCGGTGGGGGATCAGTGCAAGTTGTATGCGATTGTTGATTTTGTGGTGATGTAGTACAACTTGGTGTACCACTACCAGAACCACCACTCAAAAGTGGAGGTGGATTTTCATCAAATTCTTTATGATCTAATTCAAGTGAATGATCTCGTTGTGTGTTGTTATTCGTGGTGGTGTTATGATTGTGATTACTACTCTCAGGATGTGATAGAGTTATGCCGTTACCAGAAGAATGATTTTTGTAAACAGAAGAATTCGGTCCACCATTACTACTACTATTATTACCATTATGCTTTGTTGATGGAGTACGTCGACCGGAAGAATTTGAGCTTTTAACACGAACCTGTGTATATAATTCAACATTAGAAAAACAATTAATGATAATGGATATTTATAATAGTAGAAGTAATAAGAATTAACGATTTATAAAAAATGTTGCTAATTCAGTAAATATACAACTACAACTAGTCAGAGGAAAAGTCATCATAATGATTGAACGTAAATGCATAAATAGTGAACATTTGATCACATCTTTTACACAAACCTGAGTTATTTTATCAGCTTCAAGAGACATAACATTCAATATGCTTTTGAATACTAACTTTTATAAATTCTAAGTGGACCAATAGTAAAATATAAAAATGATTTCATTGTGATGGTTAAAACTCTGAATGAAGTCACTGAATTGTTCTTAAATGACATGATATCTAAAATTGGTTCGATCTTTGGTAGAGTCGTGTGCATGTGCATCACTGAGGAATCTCATGCTAGGAAGAGAAAACTGTACAGTGCATCCAGGTTTCAAAAAGTTATTTAACCAAAATGAGTCCATAATGTAAAATATGATACTGTTGAATTATTAAGTTTGAAAGCCATTTAGGGAATGCAACAGGGAAAATTTAACTACTAAAATTATGTATTAGTTAATGTTTACTAGTCAGAAAGATCTATGCACAATGCCAATGTAGTTCATCCCACACGTTTGGGACTTGATCGTAAGTTATTCAATGAAATAATCACTATCATATATATATATATATATATATATATATATATATATCATTTAGCATACCACCCAACTTCGTGTATTCACAATAGAGCTACTAGCCAGTTATCTATATTTTATACGGATGATACAATAGTAATTACTCACCAATCCGTTTTCTTCCAAAGAACTATTACCAACCGCGTTACATTTGTCTCCGGAGGTGGGCTAACGACAGAATTGAAAATGAACATGGTACTTACTGTTTATATATATGTGATTTACATCAAAACAGATACTTCAAAACTGTAGATTATCAAATAATATAAATAGGCAAAGAATTAACACGTGTATTTCTACGTCAGTGTACATATGTTATAATACAAATGTGAATTGGTTTTTATGTAGATAATAGTGACAGACAAAAAACCTATAGAAAAGCTTTCTTCACCGTACTTGCAAGGTTTCCAGAAAGGGTTTTCAAGTTCAAGAATATTGAAAAACAAAAAATATATTATGGTAGCTCCATAGTTGTCAAAATGTCATTTTGACAAAACTGAACATAGGAATTTATATGTTCCAAAAGTAAGCATTTTCATTACTTCGTCAAAAACTTGAGTCTACCAGTAGAAATACATGCGTTCAACAGTCACAGTACCATATATTATCTTTACCTGAACTTTACCATTAAGCATTAATAAAACAAAACAATATTAACAGATTGAATAATGTACTATTATGTGATCAGTAAAATTTTACAAGTTAGGAACTCCCTGTAACTTATAAACATTATCAAGTTGCAAACTGGAAATTAATAACTACAGTAAAAAGTTCAACTAATTAACGCTTAAAAAAGAAATGCACAAATTACTGTCAATAAGAAATGGATAAATCTATGGAAGATTTACAATAATAAATAAGATATAATACAAAAACACGTAATACAGTATAATTATACTAAAAAAGTGATTACTAACCAAAATGTTGACAGGTAAAAGGAAACAAACTTACTCTTTCAGTTTTACGACGTTTCTCATCTGGCGGTGCATTTGAATGTACATCAAGCAAACCTGGAGATCGAGAATTTGCACGTTGGCGACTTGGACAAGAATTAATATTGGGTACAGGTGTTGAACTTTTTGATGGTGGTAAAACAGAAGCTGGGTTAGGAAATGTTGATGATATAGACGATGATGATGGAGGTAATAGATTATTTGAACCAAAACCAGATATATCTGGATGTAAACCACCGAAAAGTCCAGACGATAAAGGAAGGTTTGAATTAAGTCCATCATGTATATCTGGATTCATGCCTACTGCTGCAACAGACTGGGCAGCAGCAAAACTAGCCATTGTAGCCATTAAATTATGCGCATCCATTGGCGAAGACCCTGATAGACTATTAGACCCGAAGTTTAACGGTAGACCAAAAGCTCCTGGTGGGCCACCTTGTGAAGCGGCGGCAGCAGCGGCCATCGCTGCAGCCATTGCCGCAGCAGCTGCTGTTCTCTGAAGATAACAATGAAACGTTTATACTTCAGGAGACAAATTAATTATGTTTATTAAGAAGTTGATGGCAGACAGAAAAAAGTAACCGTGGATGAAAATATCATATTTTTGCCTATAAACTAATATAAAACGTATTAAAAACACGAATTCGAGTATAAATACAAAAACCATCAAATTATGGTGAAAAGGGAATAAAATCAGATTTTTAATACTCGAAGGCATTTATCTCCGTAACTATGATCGGTATGGTATGAAAAGTCACTAAACATTAATTTACCATTTTTCAAAATCTTTATTCGGTAAAACCAAACAAATTAGACCAAAACGATAACGGAAATGTGGAATAATTTGGTTTAGCTACAAGAATATTTCCACCTAAATTTAACATTAGGTTAAAATAAAAGATGGCATAGAATACGCGTAACACTAAATAGGGCTTACAATTTAATCAACTAATGAATTGATGACTAGGCACAAATATGAATTGATATGTGGTGATGAGATGATTACACTATTGATCCTATCAATTTAGCTATTCATAAAGAAATCGACTAACCGATACAAACTTAAATCGATAATGTAGGTCCAACAGTACACAAAGAGAAGAGAAAGTAACACGATTACACGAATAAAAAACAATAATATCTGTGATAGTGAAACAAGAAACAGATTAGACCTATCATGGAGTTAAAGTTCCCATACAAGTATAATGAATTAGTATTATGCATAGTCATTCAAGTTGGATAATATTACGCAAACAGATGATAGGATGTTATACATAAAATATAATCATCATTCATTCTAAAAAGCTAGCGAGAATAGGAAGTGAATAACTCCAGAATGGCTAGGTCAAAACATATACACCACTAAATGAAAATTCCGACAGTTGTTTTAAATAAGATGGGGGCCAAAGCAGAGGAAATCCATTACACATGTTGGATGAAAATGTAATGTAAATTTTTATTGCGATACAACCAATACAGTTGGAAATAATAAACATAGCTTGCCGAATGCACCCATCAATACAGGTCCCTGTAATCTAAACCCGTATTCAAATAGATGCATCCATGCATTGCACCCAAAGTAGTAGTGCTAAATATAAACTACTAGGACAAGACAAACACTTCTTGTCCAGTGAACATTAATTGTTTTAATAACTTAAATTTTTTTACTGTTGTGTTTTGTGTATCATCAACGAAGAAAAAACAATAATCACAACCTATACGAATGTAGCCTGCCGTCCCAGACATACAATATATAATGCAGCAAACAAAAAAACTAACATTCAGCATCGTAGTTGTTGTCTGTCTATCCCACCTTATGACACAAATAGCATATAAAAGCTCTCGATAAGCCTCCCATTTTAATAAGAGGCTCATAGAGAGTGAATTAATTTGTGGTCGTTCAAACCTACCACCACCATCACACTTACTGTTACCTTAATATCCATTTTATCACCACCCCACTATCCAATAGATAGTTGAATGGCCTCGACGGCACGCGGATAGGCATGCTATCACCCTAATAATCATGGTATGTCTCATTCCCACCACCCCATGACAGGAACATACCATAAACCTCTCCCCATCCTATTAGAAAGCTGGTCAAATAGAGATAGAAAGAGGTTGGGAGAGTGAAGTCAGACATCAAAATGTATCGGAAATAAGATGCGTGTGAAACTTGGTGAGGGTGGATTATGACCACACCCAAACACAGATGTGAAAGCTACAAGCTCTCAACATAACCGAAAAGATTGTTACCATTGGAAAGGTGAAAAGTATGTATAAAATCGAAAGAGCTAAGGTCTCGGATCGTTGGACAGTTGAAACCTATTGACACTCAGTGATGGTAAATATACATTAGGAAAGGTATGAAGAGGATTAAATTATGATGAACAAATACACCGGGACGTATATGTTAAAGTTTGAAAAAAACTTTGTTTCATTGCTATACCATCTAGAAAGTTTGGGCGCGTTAGATAGAACTATTGATAACAAATTCAAAAAGGATGTCGTATTTACCTTCATAAACATCCAACACACAACTACGTCTTACCATGGATTACGGAAAGCTAGCATATCAAAACAAATGAAAACCAGACTGATCATGAAAAACAAATCTTACTGAAGAAAGAAGAAACAAATTTCTCAAAATATTGTTTTGACATATTATCGATTTAATCCATTTGTCAACCGACTCATGGTGAATATAAAATCCTACAGATGTGTCCTGGTGCTTACAAAACTGACCACCAACACCAAACATATAGAATAACCTCGTCTGTGGACAATTTTTACATGACTTATTAGTCGGAAAGCTATTAGAAAATTTACCAAGCCCAAATTGCAAAATGACATAGTACAAGAAAATTCAGAAATATGTTATACCTCCAACTATTTATACTCTTGAATAATTGTAGGCAATGTAAATTTTGGCGCTAATCTACTGAGCAAGGAACTAAGTTACACAATGAAACAAGGTCATATGACCAGTAAGAAGTGTAAGCGTAAATAATTCACTCAAGCTGAAACCACACCTACACATATTTTTTAAGGCAATTTGTCTAGCTGTGAATACATTCAAATTGTTCGTATATTGACTCGGTGATTGATGAATAAGCTTTATAACAAATTTGACTTCTTACATATAAACAGGGACTGAACTATTGTTTACGGTCGTATAGAGCATTTAAATCAGATTGTAGAATGCTAAAGTGATATTTTTTGTTAACAATTCACGTTGTATGGAGTGTGTAATATCCCGAAAGCACCCACTAACACAAAAATTGCTTGTCGCCAGGTGTGTTACCACTGAACTCGTTGGGTTACGTGTGAAACTTGGTAGATTCAGATTATGCACAATAAATGTTTGCTTAAGAGTAAATAATAATAAAGCCTTTATTTAACACCATACCTATAGTACAATATGGGATTCTGCACCCAATGATTTGAAACTGATTGTTAATAAGATTCTACATACATTTTTATTGTAAAAAACCGTGATTCAGCGAAATGAGGATAAGTTTGATTGCAATTTTCATGATAATAAGTTTGTCAGTCTGTCAGCTACAACGTTGGACCAGGCACATATGTGCATCGGTCCAAGTTGCCACACCTCATTAGCACAACAAGATGAACACCAAATTCATAGAATTAGTTAATTCAGTGGTAGTAATATATAAAAGAAAGATTGCATATAAGGATATAGTACAGTAAGAAAGAATTAGTAAGTAGAAAGAAAGATATAAAGCAATTTAAATCTCACAGTTTAAGGAAAGACAGACAGTGTATACACCTACGCCATTGTGACCGATTTTGAGCCATGTCATACAAAGTCTCCAGCCATTGGTTACGACAATCGTGCCGACCCAACCAAGAAGTCTGCATCTACAAACATGGCTAAGACTAGAAGTTAGTGACTTCAAGGACTGGTGCCACGTTTTGTTTGATCGGCCCTAACTTTCTTCTAGCCATCCCCAATACTAGTCAGCATTGCGCGCCGTGGTCAGTTATACCAACATATGTGTATTTAAATGCATAAATAAGATTAACACGGTTGTATACCTACCTAGAAAACTAAAATCTGAAAGCCAAATACTAGTGACAGTATTAATCAATGTATTTTTAGTTGTGTTATACACCAGACTGAACTGTAAATAATGCTTACAAATTATCTAGCATCTGTTAAGCAGTGGATTTACTAAATGAATTCTCACGTGCTGCGTATGCCTGAACACCGATTACCACGGCGCGCAATGCTAACCGGTGTTAGGGATGATTGGAAGAATGTTAGGGGCGGCCAAACCAAAACGTGGCATCAGTGGTTGAAGTCTCTAACTTCTGGTCTGAGCCATGCTGGTAGATGCAGACTGCCTGGTTGGGGTCCGCGTGACTATCGTAACCAATGGTTGGAGACTCTTGGTGACATGGCTCAGAATCGATCACAATGGCGTCGGTGTATACACTCTCTGTCTTCCTTTAAACTAAGAGATTAAAATCACTTCAAATCTTTCTTTCTAGGAACTAATTGTATCTTCCTGTACTATCTCCTTATACACACTCTTTCTTCTATATATTACCACCACTGAATTAACTACTTCTATGAATCCGGTGTTCATCTTGTTGTGCTAATGCCGTATGGCAACTTGGACTGATGCATATATGTGCCTGGTCCTACGTTGCAGCTGACTGACTGACGAAATGAATTCTCTATACCCTAATAAGATACTAAACAAAAATGTTTAGTGGCGAGCTCTAAACAACTTTTTGGGAATTTCTATGTGACTACAGGATAAAGACCACTAAGGACATACGTGCATAGTGTTATTTCTGGTCGTAGGAAGCATCACACATCCTGGTTACTCAGATTGAATTTACTGAGACTACTTTGAAGTTTCAGTGACGATAGATAATCCCTTAAGATCATCATAGTGGTAAACATAAAAAGGTAAACGGATGTAAAATGTAGGTTCCCATAATTGTAAAACATCAGATGCATCCCTGTTTGTGAAACCTCATTGTTGACAGTAGTTGTAACGAGAGAATTTATCTGATGAACATGTGATGATATAAATGTCATTGTTCTGCATATTTTGTTTATTTAGCTATTCTTTACTGTCAATAGTAATTTAGCTTTTAATTTTCATGCTGATTTTTCACTCACTACCGCGCAGTATACTCATCCTTTAATTGATAGACGGATATATCGCCTTCGCCCTGAGTTTGACCCTAATACATATTTAACTATGTATGTTGGGATACATAGGAACAGTCTAGTAGTTGATTACCACAGACAATATGTTTATAAGCAAAGATGGATGGTCATTAGCAGTGGAGTCCAGGACGCGCTTTCCGTCGTATTTAGGAATCGTTAGCTTGATGTACCTGCATATGAGTTGACGTCTACTCCGGGATTCAAACTCAGTACCGTTCGCTTCGAACGCTGTCGCGCTATTATTATTATTATTTGAACACATAGATATTAGTACAAGGAGGCATCAGATACATATGTGCCACACAAATCTAATGAGATTTGCGTGAGGACTGTTATACTGCCCGGGTGCCCAAACCGAAGTAGGTGGTTTTCTTAGAGAGCCACACTCGGAGCCTTCGACCTAAAGGTCTGATTCACAAGGCAGTGGAGCATCGTGAGGAGATGCAGTCCCATGGTAGCCGGTGACCAACGATTGATTCATACGCCATTTGTTCCCTCAGGACACTGACGTCCATGTACACCATTGGTTTGGAATCAGGGTTTTCCAACTCCCCTAGGTGGACTCTCTGTGTCCACTAACCCGGTTAAAACGCCGAGCATTCGCTTTTCGCCTTCTCAATTTCGTAAACAACACCCTTGCCACGAGGAGCGAGTAGGAATCCCCTGGCAGAGACTATATACGCGTGGCCATGTGAGAGTATTTCGAGAGAGGGCAGACTCTCCTTACTTTTGGTCGTACCAGGGCATTTGAGGGCTGTCGCGCTATCGTCTTAGTTAATGAGTCCTGATAGCCACAAGCTTGTGGAATTAGATGAAGTTTGAATCTTCCCATTGATGTTTAGGACTGCAATTAATCGGTCCTGGATTCCATTTCTAGCCACCATCCATCTTTGTTTATAATGTTTATGACTTAAGGCAATATCGAGGCAATCCGTATATGATGCAGCCCTAAACATCAATAGGATGATTCGAACAAACAATACAAAATGAATTTAATAAGTTTGTTTGACAACGTCTAGGATAGCCAGCAGTCGAATGACAACAGGTGTTTTTGTTGCAAATTACCAACATTTACTTCATGCCTCGGAAAAGCACGTTCACAGCCACGGTGGTGAGAGAGAGCGACAAAATGACAGACCAATTAACACATCAAACGTGTCTGTTTGTCCAACATCCGAAATAAATACAAAGACAAACGAAAGGATAGCAGTATAGACAGGCGTAATAGGCTTGGAGGCTCAAGTGGAGAAAATATTGGAGGCTCATATAGTAAACGCAATGCAAACAGAGATGCATAAAATGTAGAACGTGAAGTATATATTTTCATTGTAATAACCACCCCAACACTGTTAAGGTTATTATAACAAAGGTGGTGGTTGCATACACTGGTCTATATGACATATAAAACATGATGTTTATTGTATATAAAATCCTTATATAGGTTATATTATTATGATTATATTACACACACCCCAAACAAATAGGATTATAGATGTTTAAGAATATTTTTGCATATATGTGCCAATGGAGCGATAATTTTTTGTCTTTCTCAAGAGGAGAGAGTTTTCATATAGAAAACAAACAGAATTAAGAGTGTGTGAGTGAGTGGTAATACAAAAAGGAAAAAAATTGGTTACTGAAAAAAGTCAATAAAAATAGTAAGGAGAATAATGACGGTCATCAATTAGATAGTCACACACACCGTGAAAGCGTATGGTGTTTACCAGCATAGAAGAGGTTGTTACAAAAATGCTCAATCGTACACATATATTGACAGTTCTTCCGTCAATAGAAATGTATGTCAGCGTAAGTAGGTGTGTTAGCTCTTCAACCCGCTAAGATATGGTTTTAACCCTCTTTGTTTTGTCGCAATTCTAACTACTTATTATTATATAGCTAACTAGAGCTCCACAATTTTTGTGACAGCTTGAACTGATGTATACCACTATTACATTGACTATCAGTTAGTGTTTTACGATTGCATTCATAAAAAAACTATATATATATATATATATATATATATATATATATTAGACTGTATAACCGAATTTCTGTTATGGATTGAAAACATGTTCTCTTCCAACTGCTATATATTACGGATGGTCAACATGGACACAAACAGTAGTAGAATTATGAAGAAAAAACAATTTGATTACTCAGATTTGAATAAATTCGCTAACGTCCATGTGAAATCATAAAAAACAATAGGATGTTAAGCGAAGTAATCCCAAAATTGGCATTTGAAGTTAATTAGACCGCAAAATAAAAATTGAATCTATCAGCACAATAATTAACGTTGAATTTCAAACCGAAAGATAAAGATTTCACTGAAAAGGCAACTTTTTAATACTTTAGAAATTCTGAATAGTTTAAAGTCAATAAGCAATATATAGTTCAGTGCAAATACAATGACATAAAGAGGGGAAAACGAGATATGTTTAAATGGATAATCCTTTGAATAAAATAATGTTATCGCATCCTAAATACATTGTGAAGGTTCCTTCGTTCTCATATTAAATGAAGAAAGTGTATCAAATGAATAGTGTACACACAACACTTGAGAGAACAAACGCCCTATTATATATAAAGTATTGTCAACAGTTGTTAGGTTTCTGTGTGCATATATTAATAACATACATATGTGAACTGATTAACATACAATTTTACATGTTGTTTTAGGTAGTCGCACACAACAATATCTGTATAGCATTATAGACGTACGCAACTACACAGATGAACAAACACGTACAAACAAACAAGCACACAAACATAGATGACAATCAACAAAGCATCAAACATAAACATGTTTAACAACTATATATCGTGATAATTGAAAATGGGTTATGATACAAATCATATACACTGTATGCCTGAAAATCAGTTGTATATGTATAGAGTATACAGTAAAGAGAGATAAAGAAAGTGTAGCGGTTTGTGAAGATTGTCCATTCTGAAGTAAGTTTTTGCCTCGGACTAATTTTAACTAAAGAATAGTTGAAAGCGAAAGGTGCACAGACCTAGTTCGAGACATCTAAGTAGTACAAACGCATCATATGGAACAGTGTACATTGTCAAATTCAATCAGTTAGCAACGATCATTCAATTTCTTACTCTTAAAATAGTTAGAAATTATTCCTAACATAACTGCATTGAAAAATAGCTTTGTAATAAACATTACAGGGGTTTATTCTGTAGCATATCAAATGCCACAACACTAGAAAACGCAAACATATGAAGGCAACGATCTAATGTCTGCGACAATAAAAGAGCTCAAAATAATAGGATGAAAGGAATGGAAACATTTAGAGGATAAAAATGAAACAAATCGAGTAATATCAGTGGAAACTTCCAAACATAGATTATCTCCAGACTATAAGAGGGAATTTCGCACATTAATTAACGGGTAAGAGCCCGAATAATACACGTTTAGATCAATTAAGTTTACAACTTTATCCAGTATTTAACTACATTAACCTATTTCTCTGAGTGTGAATTTAGTAAAACTCAGTAGGTGACTTCAGTATGTGTGGAAAGTTATTTGAAGATACGTATGATCAAGTAGTTGCGACCCACTCACTGAAGGATATAATTTGATGCAGTTAATGTAAATGTTGGCTAACTTTAAGTCCCAATTCAACCGATTATTTGGGGTAAAAATTAAAAACAGAGTGATGTGTTTACTTAGGATACCGTTCAGTTATGACTAATCATCTTGTTGGATACACTAATGAAAAGACGTAAAACTTATATGGTTCCCCCGAATTTCTTGCTAAATATAATATCATGGAAACTACCAGACTAGAAACAAAGTTAAACAAGCTGACTTCTGGTTTCTCTAAAAAAACTTTCTAGTTAATTAAGACGACAACGACTGGGATCAGTTAAATGAAATGACATTAAAATTTTAAACCCATTGATCTTTTAGTTAACTAATTACATCCAGTTATCATATTTAATGAAGTCTGAAACCAAACAATGAAGACCTATTATCCCCTCTAACCTTCAGTTAGTGGTCATCTTCCTAACAAGAAAGGAGTGTAGGATTGATGTTAATCTCCTATTCAGACTGTTTATAAAATGTTTATAACAATAAAAGTGGCTGCACTACGTATCAATATGTTTAATCCATTCATTCTGATTACCCGATTCGAAAGTAGATCAACATCCTACCTTTTTCAGAGATAGAACACCTAGCTGATGACTTTATAACCCTATCCCTTTTGACAAACCTAAAAACTGTATACCATCGTCTGTTGTCACTGGTTTATCTGTCAGCTTTTTACTCGTAGCTCACTGCAGTTTACTATTATTGTGTAAGTGTCGTGTTTCAGTGTTCAAGTCATATTTTGCTTTTATTGTTGTAAACACCCATTAACTTGACAGAAGCATAAGCGATTCATCTGTCTTTTCCATAGGCTTTGTAAAGATCTTTGTTGTTTTTAAAAGACTCAGAGTCATCCAAGATGACCATACGATCAAAACTTATTCAATACTTAAGTGGATGCTTTTTTAATTTATTCCTTAAACAAACCACTGAATCTTCATCTTTGAAGTGAACTGAAGGAAGTTATCCACTCTAAAGATCCGTTATGGAAAGAATGTCTACATGATCGCACCATTTACTTAGTGTCGATGGTCACCAATTCATATATTTGTATTTATGTCTAAAGATGGTATTCATCAAAATCAAATGACTACCAAATAGTTACTGTAATGATTACGATATACTCATTAAGATAAAAAATCGAAAATACAACATAAGCATCTAGAGTTATTGGAAAATATAATTTTGATGATGATGTTACGCTTTGTGCATCAAATTGAGAAATAAGCTATTTTAAGAATGAGGAATTTACCAAGTATTTCAGGCTTGGATAGTGGGAGCAGGGTATAAACATCTGGGATCCAGATTTGAATGATCATACTAAAAAAAAGCTGAAATTTTTCCCGAATATACAAGTTTGAAAAGAGGTTGGGTGAGTAGACGATGAATAAATGAGGTAGGAGTCAAAATAAACCTAAGATGTGCATAGTGGTACACAGAACACACAAATGAACTTTGAATGTAAGATAAATAATTAGAAAGTCAGTAGTTTGTAACTGAAAACTGAATTGAGAAAACAAATTGTTTAAAAGTCCTTAACTAGACTCACTTGTTTTTCATCTAAATTTTTGTCACTAATAATGGCAGATAATGCAGCTGGAGATATCATTGGGGGAAATGGTGGTTGACCAGTCACTCCATCCATTGGGAACATTAATGGTCTTGGAGCATTCGGGTTAGAGAGAGATGTAGAGGTGGGTGAGAACGGCGTATGCGCCCCAGAAGCAGAAGGACCATGATAAGATGAGGTCGCCAAAGATGCATTAGAGGATATAGATGATGGCAATGAAGCACCCGTTAGATTATTGCTAGTTCCAGGAGGAAACGAAGTTGGTATATTATTAATATGAGCAGGAATTTGAGAATAAGGGTGACTATTGTTGTTAAGTAAGCCACTAGATAACTGACTCATAGTAGCATTTGCATTACCAGGAGGGAAGCCTGCAGCAGCTACTGCAGCCATTGCTGCTGCAACTGCCGGGTGAGATTGGGCAAGACCAGAAAAGAAAGCCGGATTATTAGGACCTGGGATACCAGAAAGGGATGACTGAACACCAGAAATGCTAGGATTCCCAACAGGATTAGTATTTGTAGTTGGGGGTGTAACTGAACTGGTCATTTGTGGTAGAAATGGATTGGGAGGCAAAAGCAAGTTATTAGCAGCATTGCTATTTAGAGCTGGGAGTCCACTATTCAAACTGTTAATTCCAGTGCACGGAGGTGCATTAAGCCCGCTTAGGCTAGTTAATGATGGAGTGGATTGAGCTCCTCCCCTGGAGCCGCTTATGGGTAGAACGGAATTATCGGATGGTAATTGCCCTAACGACGGTGGAATGAGACTGTGTGGGAACCCACTATTTAGTCCTCCAGATCCAGAATTCATCAGTAATTGTTGCTGTTGCATAGTCTATGACACAAAGGGAAAGGTAGTTTGAGAAATAATTAGGAGTAAATTTAGTGTAAATAATACAAATATAAGTACAGACATCAACAAAAATTACCACGCAGGACAATTTTTAAATTTCAAAAATAGTGTATAGATGTATAGGAATTATACTTCAAGCATTTCAATAATTACCTGTGAATTAGGCAAAAACTAGACATCGCTTTATTTTTCAAGACTAAAACCTCTCAAATTAGTATACAATACGGAAGCACAAAATCAAATCACAAGACAAAGATAGGACACCTTAATGAAATTTGTTTGCTCTTCCGTTGTATAGAACTGTCAGTAAAACTGTTGATTCAGTCCACACTTCTCAAACAGAGAAAATCTTCTGGCTCAGAAGGGACAACTTGCACTACGCAGCGAAACAGGAAATTCAATTTTCTAATCATAGGGATATTAAAAATACATTTTTATTTTGTTACTGCATAAAAAACCAGAAAGTTTCTAACAATTAAACAAAGAAAAAGTAACTGACATTTTGTATCTCAAAGCTTCTGCTTTTGATTCAAAAATATTCAAACTATGAAGAAAACGCCGATTAAAATTTGTAGTTAATTGGAATGACTTTATCATGCGTATTCTGACTGGTGCTTGAATGTGGAGTTTATCAAAAACCTACACAGAAGTCATTTTTAGACCAAAGTTCATAAAACTATCTTTATTGAAAACACAACTAATTACCGATCACGGACTGCTTAAATCAATAGATACAAAAAGCGACTGAAGAGACTAATTAAATGTTTCGCAAGGGTTTTAGAGTAAAATGTTCGACTGCTCTTAAAGAAATGACAACTGGATTAAATATATAAACAATAAAACCTTGGTTTCACTATAATTAAATGATTTAAATGTACAAATTATTCACAGCAACAGTTTATGGTGACGTAGGTAGAATACTTTATCGTAATGTTCTACCGTATTACTTCAAAACGTATAGTGAAAGCCAGAGCGGCTTATGCCAATCTGGGCCACCTTTGGCGCCTTCGTGATGTTAGTCTGGCTGTAAAAGGTCGGATCTACAACGCGACGGTGAGAGCAGTTTTGCTCTATGCTTGTGAAACCTGGCCTCTCCGAGTTGAGGATGTTAGACGACTCTCTGTGTTCGATCATCGTTGTCTCCGAAGGATTGCTGGCATCCAGTGGCAACATCATGTCAGTAATGCAGAGGTTCGGCATCGAGTGTTCGGTCACAGAGACGATAATGAAATTGGTGTCACCATCTTGAAACACCGACTTCGGTGGCTTGGACATGTTCTACGAATGTCGTCCCAGAGAATTCCACGTCGTGCATTATTTGCCGACTCTGGGACTGGTTGGAAAAAGCGGAGAGGTGGTCAGTATATGACATGGTGTCGTGGTATGAAAGAAAGCTGCAAAGGGCTAGCTTCTGTTGGTCCTTCACGACTCCCTGGTTGGGGTCCGAGAGACGGTGTAACGCAGTGGCTAGAGACGTTATCAGATATGGCTAAGAATAGAAGCCAGTGGCGATCGTGCTGTAACCTCTTACTTTCTTCATAAAAAGTGTTTATATCTTCCTTAACTGAAAGATCTCTTCTGATTGTACCTTTCCGTTTCCCCCACCATTGTTCTCTCTCTCTTCCCTTTTTTTTATAATTCCCCACGTTTATTACATTTTTTTTTCTTTTTTTTCTCTTTCCTCCTTCTCTCCAAATTATCATTGTTTTGTGTGGCGCATATATATTTGGTGCCCCTCTGTACCAATATTTATGTGTTCAAATAAATAAATAAAATAAATAAATTACTTCAAAACACTAAAAGTAAAAACATTAATAAGAATTAAGAGTGCCTACAGAAAATGTGGATCTTTTATCAATTCATTGAGACGGACTTTAACCCGGACTGTCATATATGTTTGTATCGAGGTAAAAAACCGGTCATATAATTTGTGGATTTAAAAACTGTCTTATTGTACAATGGCATTTAGAAAAAAATACTTTATGTATATAAACCAATTCGGTTTTGTAAAAGCCCGAATTATTTTATTTATTATTTATTTGAACACATAGATATTAGTACAAGGAGGCATCAGATACATATGTGCCACACAAATCTAATGAGATTTGCGTGAGGACTGTTATACTGCCCGGGTGCCCAAACCGAAGTAGGTGGTTTTCTTAGAGAGCCACACTCGGAGCCTTCGACCTAAAGGTCTGATTCACAAGGCAGTGGAGCATCGTGAGGAGATGCAGTCCCATGGTAGCCGGTGACCAACGATTGATTCATACGCCATTTGTTCCCTCAGGACACTGACGTCCATGTACACCATTGGTTTGGAATCAGGGTTTTCCAACTCCCCTAGGTGGACTCTCTGTGTCCACTAACCCGGTTAAAACGCCGAGCATTCGCTTTTCGCCTTCTCAATTTCGTAAACAACACCCTTGCCACGAGGAGCGAGTAGGAATCCCCTGGCAGAGACTATATACGCGTGGCCATGTGAGAGTATTTCGAGAGAGGGCAGACTCTCCTTACTTTTGGTCGTACCAGGGCTTAAAGTACTTTAGCTAGTTACAAGAAATACCCTACGAACCTACAATACAACACTGACGATAGTTGGGCCCCCAAATGCCCTGGTACGGCCGAGAGTGGGGAGAGTCCACTCCACACTGCCTTGTGGATCAGATCTTCAGGTCGAAGGCTCGGGGTGTGGCCCCCTAAGAAAACCACCTGCTTCGGTTTGGGCACCCGGGCAGTATCACAGCCCTCACACATATTAATTGAGATTTGTGTGGCGCATATGTATTTGGTGCCTTCTTGTACCAATAAATAAATTAATAAACAAATGGGCATCAAAAAAGAGTATGGATGAACTCAAGGTTGTCTAACTTCAAAACTGTGCTTAGCAGTGTGCTCTAAGGTACAGTTTTGGAGCCAGTGATATTTAACTTGCATGTAGACGACAGCCGCCAAGTTACATAACCCTTTCGCAAACACAAGGGCGACTTTATCACAGCTTTAAATTAATTAGTAATAAATTTGCACCTTTAATTCCCTTACTATTCTTTTCTTCCAAAATAGCGAATTTAAGAGGATATGCTAAAAACGTCCACAAACCCATAACAAAATACTTGTCAACAGACTATCGACTTTCCCATCGAACCATCAACAAATGGAATTCATTACCTTAACACGTAATTAAAGCACCATCTATCGAAGCTCGCAAAAGATCAACTGAGAGACCACAATTGTCAGAACCAACATAAGCCACCTAGCTTCCTGTCCTTCCCAAACTGAAACTGGTACATTCGGTTACAATATGGACAGAACGACACAGCAGGGAAACTATTACAAATGTTTCACTGAGTTACTTTTATCTTTGTATATTCCAGCGATACTATCCATAGGGACTCATCTGAATCTCTATATAAAATAAATTCTATATTACACAAAACTCCAGGTTCAGTACTTACCAAAGTAATTACATCTGAGTAATATATTACACGTAGTGTACATACGTTTACTGATCACTGAGTATACAAAACAATATTCAAAAACAATCATGGATATTGCATTTACACTTAAGAAGCCTATTTCTTGTCTTGACTTCATGAAGAGGGAGAAGTATGACGCAAAATTTTACTAGCCAATAATATGCCTTGAAAGTTGCATGTTATCGACTTGAAGCACCAAGAAATTACTTAACAAAGACCTAAAAATTTGAGTGGTGCAGATAAGAGCTGTGATTACTTATGAAAAATTACATTTAGGCAAATGTGCATGGCGTGATTGTTCTTCAATCTAATTCCTCGAATGACAACTTAGCCACTAAATCTAAATACGACGTAAAAACTATTACTAATGACCCCATTATAATAACAGGTCGGTATGAGTGTAAGTAAAACAAATTTGTACCACCAAGAAAAATTACTAAAACATAAGATCTACTGGGAGTAGTGGATGATTCTAAATAAGTCCCATTAAAACTGTTGGAAATTTCTAAACAATAAAGTTTCAGATTCCTCTAATCAACTTAATACCTAACTCAAATACAAGCTCGTTATATTTAGTTACAAGAAAATGCAATAAGTACTTTTCAATGGAACATGAAATCGCGTCAACGAACACATATAATTTAGATGATGTGATCAATTCTTAAAGTAATAATGAAAACTGAAGTTTCCCAAGCAATAAAATTAGATGAAATGGAAAGACGCTAGTGAGTACCTTATTAGGTTCACTTAAAATACTTGCAACTACAAATCAATGTATTACTACTTAAATTCTCATCATAACTGGAGTTATCACTCGAAGCACTACACTACAAGCAAATAAGTTACAACCAGTATCGACATACAATTGAATGAACCTCATGACATGGCCAAATATGAAGCATAAGTAAATACCTGGTGGGGATCATTATATATTTAGCCGCTGACAGCACATTAAAAAAAACAACGAAACATATTCATGTGAACAATAAATTCAGAAGACTAAAAGTTAGTTATGTGTAATGTAACAGTGGTAATGACAAATTCATAAAAACAACTTACCTTAAAAAAGTCCATTTGGTCAAACGGGGAGCCTAGAGTACCATTTAGGAACTTTGGGCCTTTAGAATCATCCATTTGTGGCTTAACATGGTTAAGTGATTTGCTATGAACATACCCCTATGATGCTACTAAGTTCCGATAAAGTAACTTGCTTTGCGCGGTCCACAGCTGCAGCAACCTGAGATTGATGCTAAAATTGTAGCTGAATGGGGAACAAAACAAACCTCTTGAGATAGAAATGGAATAACTTGCACTAAGATAGCATTCAGCCGTTTTGCGATTTCCATCTGACGAAATAACATGACAAAATTAGGCTTACTTGTTTATGCATTTCGACATTAAGTCCGTAAGTTATCTCATAATACAGCAGGTAGTGACGTTGTAACTCGGACTTTTCCTGAACTGCCTTTTCAAACTCACATTTTAAACTGAAGCTAATATAAAACTAATGGATCCAACCTGTGGTACTGAGTTTGTAGACCCAGAAGCTCATCTTTTATTTTGTCACAAGCTTCCGGAACAGAAAATTTGGTATGCTGGTTGCTTTGAGAAGAAGACTACATGTACAGTAACAACAAATGGGGAAACGAGACTTACAGAAATTCGAGAAGGATACATCAAAAGTGAGTAACGAACTAGCTACTGTCCATGAAAAACGACCAGTAATATCCAACAGCGCGCACAATTAAAATCGGTGGATAACAAGCCTTATGATCTCTCGCTCTAATATGAAGCATATAAACAAAGGCTACAGGTATTTGTTTTACAAAAGCATAAAAAGGTTATTCACAATAAAAGTTCAAAGATTTCTGTTTATCTAAGCGTTAGATCAAAGAAAGTATGTTAGATATGCCTTATTTTACTTTTTTGTTCATATGAATCACTCAGAAAACTGACAAGTTACTAAAACCAATATACAAAGGCAATAGTAAGTCTACATTCTACTACCTTAGAGCAGAATTGAAATTTGTTAGCTCTCAAAGTTCTTCAAAAAAATCCATATGGTTTTTTGAGCGAAGCCTTGTATTTTATTTGTGACTCAAAATAGGTTTTCATTTTAATGTCATAAAAGTTTTTATTTCCGTCTACTTGTATGTGTCTAGTCAGCCGTACATAAATATTGGTTATTTAGTGTTACCAAGCTTACTAGCTAGGTGAAAGCTCATATCCATCGATAATCATTTGGTGAGCTTTAGAGATTCAAAGGTATGGGGCAGAAAGCTAGAATCATTATCATATCACACGCTGACGTTTTTTCGCTTATAAAATGAGTTTATTCTACTCTTGAAAACCACTTTTCACATCAATGATTTGAACTACTGAATCACTAAATATAACGAATGACATTTCCAACAGACAGCAAGTTATTCCAGCTGTTTGTAAGTTTGCAGGTAAGCCTAGATAATCACAAGCACTTCGATGGGAATTACTGTGTGCAAAACAAACTGTTTATTCCGAACATCGTGTCACAAAAACACTATTGTAGAAAAAAGAGATCCAGTTCCTTCGTAACGTATATTTTGGTGAAACTAAAGCGTGCAGTTTGATTAATATTTTTATGATCAAAAATCAGTGCCTTTTACGATCAAGTTATGACATTAAAAAGTAGCTTGTAATAATACAGGTCTGGTTTGAAATGGTTGATTTCCGTGAACGGTACTCAAAATAACTTCCAGAAAAAACATCAGAATACAGCATGTCTATATCACCTTAAAGATGCTACAAATATTCGGTGGCCTGTTGTGTAAACAACGTTGCTTTGGCTGTAGGTCCTTCAACTCTGGAGAATGTTTTTTTGCAATGTCGTCGGAATTGACAATTTTTGCATTTCAAGGATTCATAAGTGACACGAATTTTGTAGGGACCATCCATAGAAACTTACCAGGTAGTTGATCTTGTGTAGATGTTTGATTGTGGTTGGTCCTCACTAATCCAGAATTTCAGCCACTTTAATTTTAAGAGGTCGAATGCCTTAAACATCAATAGTACGTCGGAGGAAATCTAGAGAGTCGGTGCCGATTTGACATTTCTGGATGTTTACAGTAATGCTGTTTTTCTGCAGTCGTTCTAAGACAAGGTCCAGATGCTGGAAATGAGATTTCCTTTGTGAACTTGCACGTACTTGAAATCTCAAAAATCGTCATCGAGGAACCTCTTGAAAGATTGTACAGCATTTCTAAAGAAAAAAGGCTTTAAAAATGGCATTGGCTGAAATGAAGGTGACGAAATAGACTTGATCTTAAATAATTTAGGAGTCTGTTCTTTTTCTGATGAATATAAATTGTAGCAATGCATGAGAAAAAAGTACCCAAAAATTCCAAAAAATGTGTCACATTATGTGAAAACTAAAGTGAAAATATGATATATAAAGTTCCATAAAGGAACAGATTCATAGTTTACGAATAGGTGTACCAGATCACGTAGTGCTCAACACTAATCATCCCATAAATATATGGAGTTTGACAACACCGTAACCAGTAACAGCTTCTATAATTGAAACGTGCCAATGCAGTACAATCAGGAACGAAAAGGCTCGAAGATATATTTGATATAATATCGATATATCGATGGGTATTCAATCTAAGCTGGCTAGCGGTTGTGGGAGATATGAGGCACGGCGTTCCCAATTGTGATTTGGTGCGGATGCATGACTGAGCACCTTCAGCTGGGTGAGTCCATTAAAGTTAATGCGGCCAGCATCAAATGTCAGTGACTTACAGAGCTATTGATTTTGGGGATTCATTTAACACAACTTTCATATTGAAAATTGCCAAATGATTGTTGTCAGGTTGACAGCTACATCAATACATCATAGGAGAAATACGAGCACTTGTACCTAGTTGTTTTGTTGTCCTGTAGTGACCTTGATGGTAAAGAACTTAATGAGCAAATTTTCGAGATGCTTTAGATATTTCTGGAGTCATTTCTGCACGTGTAGATTGTGTTTCACTGAACATTCAATTATCCCAGACACAAAGTATTCACAACAGATAGGCAACAGTGAATGCAGGTAAAATATTTTACAAGCAATACTGGAAAGAAGGAAAGCCATTGATTAAAAACGGTGATGTGTATCCTATACAATGGTGAGACAGCATGGCTTCAGACAAGCTATCCCACATGTATTAAGGCCAGATAGCAGCAAAACGTCAACCACCTTCATTGAAGGTAACCATGGACTGAGCACACGTTAGACAGGAAAATTTACTGACAACCTGAAGACCATCGGTCTAGCAATCACATCGAATCCGATTTTGATAAAAAAGACCGCTGGTCGTGAGAGTTGCCGCTAGAGGCACGGTAAGCACTAAAAAACCGAGCACAATGGTGGTTCACGGAGCCAGCAAGCAAGTGGTAGCGTTAGTTACCAGACAACACTACAGTAACCAGAATGTCCGGGATACCACTCAAGTCCTACTTCACGGCCAGTATGTCCCACTGTCTCATAACCGCGAACTTCAGAAACCGAGAGGATCTAACTGAGGCCCTCCAGTTCTCATACATCTCGAAAATCGACCTCCAAAGCCACATCATGTGTTGTGAGAGTCGACCTAACACTGTGAGGCTGCAGTAGAAAAGTCCAGTCAAACACACATTTACTCAGTTGGCCTTGGTCAACAACATACTGAACAGAACATAAAGACCACAATCTTGCTAGTGGGACACAAACGCACTCACTCAAACTACAAGATATATAAATTCACAAATGACTAACACGCCAACTTTAGTTATAGCGGCTGAGTAACTAGACTATTAGCCATTGGAGATTATAAATACTTGTAACCGCAATAAGATATCTAGAAGCGAGCTCAAAGAATTCGACTAGCTTATATAAGCTCGTGCCAAAGATATTAGATATTGAACTCTATTTTTAACGATTTCGAAACTTTGCACGTAAATTTCACTTCCTCAGAAGCTTTCAACTGTTTCTGCAAAGTGAGATTTTAGCATTTATCCATCCTTTTTAATGTAGGCTATCAATAAGTTACTTAATATAATTAATTCAATGTTTCGACAAGCGGGATTTTTGGTATTGAGAGTTGAGGGCGCTTATTGTGATCCTGATGAGCCGTCCTGATCCGGGTTATGGGCCTTGTTCTAGCGCTACAGCATAGCTATTCAAACCAAAGTAGTAATTCGGATTTAGGTTTTTAGATGTTTTAGAGGATGGGGTTTGTCTTGAGACTCCTCAGCTCTCGTCGGAATTTGTCGACTTACATCACTTACCAGCTGAGCTTGCTCTCAATATATTGTCGAGGCTCAATGCCACTGACTTGTACCTAGCATCTTGTGTTTGGTATGATCTTGCTTACGATGAGGTGTTGTGGAAGAGGTATTTTCTACTCATTAGGTAATTTTCAGTTTGTGCAAAGCTTCGTGGCCATTTTGCTCGGCGTACAAGAATGGTGTACTTCAATCTGAGCCGTCATTTCGTCGACTGTACCTTAAGCTGGATGAAGCGCGTTTGACGTTCAATGCAGACGCCTTTGAAGTAAGTCCCACTGACTCAAGCATTTTTTAGGGTATGGGGTACATCTTCAGACATCGTCTTGTTGACGATAATACCGATGATCTTGTTAACTTTTTCCACAATTCTTCCGGATTAGATCCATTCCAGAAGCGTCGATATTTGGAAACGAGGTATGATTTACTTTCGGAATAACACAGGCTTAGGCCCCAGGTTCTACGCGGACTAGTGAATTTAAAAGATTTCCGGAACTATTCATTACCAAATGCGTTAAGAGGTCTTTTTACTGAACTGCCAGTCCCATCATCAGAACCTAGCGCGTCAGCTTTCATCCACCTGTTGGTCAGTCTGTTTTCCGAAAGATTTACTCAATGCAATCCAGATCTTGGGATCACACGTGGTATGTGTTAGAGTTTGCCGTTTATACTTTAAGATTAAAACATTACGTAGTTTGTTTATTTATGAAAAATCATTAATATCCTATTTTTGACACGATAAGTTCGTGTGAGTTAATTCCTAGAGAACATTAGCTTTTTGAATCAGTTGACGCTTATGATTTAGGCATTTATCAATCAGGCTTTATCAGTACCGTTATCATATGCTTAGCAGATAATCTGTCAGGCTTTTTCAATGAGATAATTATGGTAAAATGGCTCATAAAACAGCTTTGGTTTTGTACGTATTGTTTATGAGGCGATTTTCACACTAAGCTCTGGTACATATCAAAGACTTATATTTAGATAAAACACGGGACATGTGTTATTGTCAATGGATGACTTGTAAAATAAATTGTTAAAGTCTTGTCACACGGAAAATACTCTAGAGTTTCACTCATACAGTTCACAATCTGGTTTAACTAGGTACCATTATAAGGAGATAGCGTTGATAAAAATCAAAGTAGGGAATTTAGTTCAACAGAAATGACCGCACATACAGCAACTTCACCGCAGGCCTGAAAATAAAGAAAGTCATACTTGGTGATATATCTCAGTGAGTAACTAATATTGTTAGAGAAGTTGAACGGGACTAGCCATTCTAGGATTTAGAACATGTGCTTACCATTAGTAGCAACCAAACTTAATTGCACCGAATAGTGAGTGAAGAGGAATGGTGAGATTGGACAACCCTTCCTAACCCCACTGCTCGAGTGAAACAGTGAAAGTTAATTTTTGCCTTCTTTCCTGTTGTGTTTGTGTATAGAGCCTTCAAGATGTTAGTAAGCTTATCAGTCATACCATTATTCAACAGACAATCCCAGACAACAGTCCTGTTCAACAAGTTAGAAGCAAGCGCAATATCAACAAATACAACGACTGTTGGCCTAGACGAAGTATGGCAGTTTCCTAACATTTAATGGAGTGTGAAGATATTGTCAGTACATTTTCAACCAGAACGAAAACTAACCTGCTCCTCATGAGCCGGTCTTTTGCGTAATTTAAGCAACCTATGAAGTGCGATGGAAGCCAATACTATGAAGGCGATCGAAACCAGGCACTCCCAATAGTTGTTGCAAAGATCACATAAACGGTTTGGGGAAACAAGGACGGCTGTCTCTGTCTTTTAGTATGTTAAAACACTGATTCTCAAACCTTTCCAAACAACCCAATCGGTTCCCTGACCAGAATTTCGCTACCACGGAAAATGACCTTGGGTATGTCACAACCCTGGTAATTTGAAGCGCCTCAGAAGTTGGGGTTTCTTTCGGATTTCTAGTTCGTCATGTCGACCAGTCGTCAACACTCGTGGGTCGAGGGAACGTTTAATCGGTGTAGCTGAGGTGGCAGACCATCTGAGTCGTCCTTCGAAGAACGATGTTCATCGTCAAAGTCGTCCTTGGATGCTGTTGATTGGTCTCCCATCAGCTTCACAGATTGTTTTACCCACACCAGACTCCTAACTGCCATCGGCTCGGATGAGTTGAAAGCGCTGGTTCCAAATTGTTAGAACATCCGATCCTTACGTAAATTCTTCACAATCTTTTTATGTAAAAATCTACGTTTATGATCAAACTCAGTTAGCTGGAGTAGACTAGCATGCCTTAATTAGTTATAGGAAGCATGCAGAGACCCACTGTTTATAAACAGGAGGTTCCGCGGAATCGCAAGCGACTTTACTCTCCATTTTCATGGCACTATGTAAATGCAGTCAATGTACAGCTATATTTCTAGGTGGGTTTATAGATAGCATTGAACCTAGTTTGATCTGGTATTTAGTTGCAACCGAAGCGGAAACCAATATGCTTAAGTTAATCTGTTTAAATCACAAATTTTTTTATTACTAATACATAAGACAGAACTGGGGCATATAAGGGTATGATCAGAGTTCAAATAAGTAATCCAAAGGAAACAATCAATCAATAGATTGTATACTCGAATCCTTCCGTATCTATTTCGGTTTAGGGAACCAAATATTATAGCTAGCTCTCGTAAACAGTATTGCTCAGAGCGGATTACATAAGCATATATTTAGCAAATGAGTTAGACTAATTAAATAAGACCACAGCACTACTTTTTTGTAGTTTTATTAAAATGTTGGTAAGTTGCTTAACGTAAATGAATATAATCACTCCTGTTCACGCTATGGTTGAGATTTAGGGAGCTTTTCAACTTCAAATTTATTGATGATACATCCAGTAACTCGAAGGTAGTCGTAGCTAGATCTGTGACTTTGTTAAAAATTATGTAGCAAATATTATTTTGTGAAAATGCTTCTGAGGTTATTTAAATTAATCATAAATGGTTTGATCATTTTAGATGAGATCTATTTACTGTGTTTTTCAATGATCATGTTATCCGTCGATCTCTGGAGCCCATCCATCAAAAATAAAATGTCTAAACGTGAATTTATTCGCAATACAAGACAAGTGGCAACCACAACATCGGATGAGTTTTTGGGAAACTTATATGATAATGTGTATATTGTTGGGCATGTCGTACTGATCGATTGTTCTGGACCTCCGTTCCGTCATTCTGAGGTTAAAGCAATCCTTGTGAAAAATCAACCTCTGCCATTACCAGCTTTTTAAATAAGTTAACCAGTAGTTATTTCATCCACTGTGATTTATTTTCATTATTTCATGCTATTTTTTGTACTTTAAATCGTAACGTTAAACATTCACGCAATGATTCAGTTCAAATTAGTTGGTGTTGTGTATTATTTTGAATTATCAGTTAGTTATTTGTTGGTTAAATAACAAGTAACTAGTTTCGTATCAAGGCTATTACAGCTAATAGCCGTCAACTTTTTTCATAGTTATTTGTAAACCAAATAAAACAGACAATTAACTAGTCATATACACTGTAATTTACATAGAAGATAACTTCACGTAAGAGGAGTAAAAAGGCATTGTTAATTGAGTGATATATTATATACGTTTTCATGGATTTACTTAATCTTAGTAAACAATTTTATTTCAAAGTAATACAAATCAACATTTTCCCTATCATTCTATGAAAAGTCGAATCTTGTTTCTTTACATTATTTTTGGAATATATATATTCTATCTATGCGATATTTCGTTTTTAAATTTTCTAATAACTTAATTTATGTACACCTTTCCAAGATATATTCAATCGACCACTACTACATTAGTAAACTTACTAAATATTCTAATGTACCAGTAGTTCATGTAAATGATGGTAAGACCTATAACTTACCTAGTTACTTTATTACCATGTAGTGTCTTCAATGCCAAAGTTGGATCTTGATTAACTCTTTTATGATCTGAATATTCAAAATTTATGTTAACAGAAATTACTTCAATTTGTGTCTAAGAACAATGTCTTGAAGTAAACTGGTGTCCTTGTAATTGCAATTAAAGCAACCCATCATCTGTCTTTAAGTAGCTCTGTGAAATTAGTAGTCATTTTCATCGTATCACTAGTGAAGTTATTTGTCTTTTGTAGTGTATATATCAATAACAAGGTTGGATTTGTTATTTTCAAGTAAATTGGGCATAAGGTATATAGTATTCTTTTTACAAAAGACTGAGCAATGGCTGTTAACACGGTTTAATTACTAAGTACAAGTTATCGTACTAGGATTTGAATCATACTTATTATGAGAGTCACTGATATTGAGCGACTTCCAACCGAAGTCAGTTGAACATAAGCAACACAGAAAGTGAAGTATATCTGCATCAGCACAACGAGGTGAAATTATCATGATAAGTACCAAAGTATTAGGAGTTGTAGTATTACCAGTGATGGTAAAGAGGATTTTGTATAGAGAATATTATTAGGCAAGAAAGGATTTGTTCGAAGAACAAACCTTAAAAAATAGTTCTAAAACTCTAGATCATAGAGAAGACGAAGAGTGAATTTATCTGTGCCATCGTGATCGATTATGAAACATGCTACCCATGGTTTGTAATTCCCAATCGCGGTTATCGTCCCGACCTAACCAAGTAATCTATGCATACCATCGGCTCAAACCAGCAAACAATGACTCCATGGACTAATTCCACGTTTTAGTTTGTGGGCCTCTAAATTCCTTTCGTTCTATTGCAGCAAACATTGTTCATCAGAATTTATGTGCGCACAATTTGTATCAACATTAATTATTGCTTAGTCTGTCCATATATCAGGTTGTCTTAGGTTCTAACTGCTGTTTTCGAATAAATATCTTGTGTTCAACCATTATTTATTTACTATTCACTAAACCGACATCCTGCTCTGTAGTAAGATGTTTGGATAACTATTAGTACATTGCCTTTATACGATAAAGTAAACAACATTGCTCCAAACTCGCCTTTGTTATTTATATTAATGACCTTTATATCCTAACAAAGCTGTCCTTGTCACGTGTTCACTTTTTTCTGTTATAGTTTGATCTTTTTATAGAAAAAGGAAATTCGGATTATTTTGAGTCACAAGAAAGATCAACTGTAGTATTTTTGAACACCTAATAGATAGATTTTTATTATGCAAACAGATAAATTATCCATCACTAAGATTAGTTAGTATTGACATTACAATTTATAGATCGGTCGCCGTTACTTATATCTATCATTATCAATGTAAGGTTATCTTCTCCAGTTGTTCATCAGTTTATTTTTCCTAACCATCATGGGATGATTATAGTATTGAATTAGGCATGTTTCATTTGATTAATCTCTATGATCATTGGTGCTTTATTAATAGTGCACTGTATTTAAAGACTTGTTTTAAAATCAAATGCATATTCCATCGATCTAATACACAAAAATAGTATTCATCAATTAGGCGTTCAATGTTTAAACATACATGAAGTGAAACTTAATGTAGTCGATGTGATTTAGCAACCCTTACGTGTTCAAAAAAATGTCCAAGTATGTATAAAATGAGGCTCTACAGTTTTTACATATTTACTGTTTGACTTAAACCTACTTCAACTTATTGATTGTCCAGTATTGTATCGCAAAACAATCAGTAGATCGGTTAAAACATGGTCTAATTCACTATGGTAAACTTTCTTATTCGATATATGAACATGAATTCAGAAAGTAACATTTGATCAATGAAAACCCTGAGTCAGTGATCCTGGCTATCTGAAAAAATGTAAAACATGATGATTTCGCCATAGTATATGTTGAAATGGTTGAAAGTAACAAAGTTTCTATTCACTTCTCAATATTACTCGAAGTTTGATCATTGGTACTGTTATTTAAATTCCTTCTTCCTGACAGTTTCCAGCCATCTTAAATGTATCCCAACTGATGCAGTGGTAATTAGAAATGGGTAGAATGAATCGTCAATTTTTTGAGTATTTTTAAATATAAAGCGCTTTATTTTACTAGAATTATCGTCTTCCTACCAATTTTATAAATGAAGATGTACTTTCAGATAAGTAAAATTGATGGCCTTATTTTCTACTCGTTGGTTAGTGTGTCATATGATCCAAGTTCTTTTCTTGTTTAACATCAATAAGCTCAATTTACTCATCATATGCAATGTTGATGTGATAATAAAGTCACTTGAATTAATTTTTCACATTTACTACCTGACTTTTTGCCCACTACCATCAAGATATACTCCAGTGGCGTAGATATTCGGTTTCCTGTCATTGAATCGTTGGTTCAGGGAGATGTTACGTGCTATAGTCAAAGGTATTTCTGAGCTTAACATCATGAATATAATTCGATTCCATGAATAAAGCTGAGTAGTATGATCATGCATTTTTCTAACAAACTGTCAAAGTGTATGCTTTTATTAAAAAATAAAACATGTTTTATCGTAGCAGTATGACTTCTCGCTCGTATTAAATACCTTTACAAGCAACGTGTAGTCTCGTGATCTATTTCATGTGGTTACGTGTTATGGTAAGAGAAAAACTTTAAGGAATGCCTCTTCCAGTCAGCTGAATTCCAAGTTTACATTAAAACCCATAGATTAGCATGCATGCATAATGAGTTAGAATAGATATATTGTAAAGGCGAACAAGTTCGTTCATGAGAACTACACTAGACTAATCTTGAAATAATTCGGCTTTTTTTACATTGTCTAGCTATCATTTCGCAGAAATGGTCTCGTGTTTCATCGAGATAAGATACGTGCCCGTAAATTTTTAGCTCGTTTGTTTCGCAAGATGTGTGCAGTACCAAGCACTGTTGGTTGTTTTAACGTTCATTTAATAGATGAATGCATAAATATTACTAGGGATTTCACTCCAAGCTCTCACTTTCACTATTTTTTTCATTGGACAAGTTGTTTTCGCTAGAGTTGTGTATCTGTAGAATTCATATATGGTTAGCTTCAAGTAATTGAAATGAAGTCAGCGAAAATTAGGTACTTATATACAGTACTCACTAAATTAACAGGGAAATGCATTTCCATTGAATATTGAGAAATGAATAGATAACCTGACAAGTTTTTCCTCTCGTTTCGATCATTCACTTATGCATGTTAATTTGAAACTGTGTTATGAATTCGCAAATGTAAAATATATTTATTAATTAGCTCCAATATATTTCCATTCTGCTTTGCTACTAACAAATCGTTCTTAGGACAGGGCTTTACCACAGTTTCGCTTTCAGTTAAACGTGAATTATTAATGTCTATCCTGGGAACATATGGCATCTGGTTTTGTTAGTGTCGGACTGGGCGCTAAAGTTGAGGCAGCACTATCGATTGGATCATCATTAACAGTTAGTTGTATGTTGCTAAATTTGAAAGCCCAATCAAAGTAAGAAATCAGTGTGACAAACGACATCTCTTCCTACGCTCCGACATATTTCAGCACAGATGGGTTTTAATACTGTAGTGAACAAGAACACGAGTGGGGACAACCGAATGTAGTTGAACACGGAATTACAGAATATCTCACTAAAATCTGAGAACCACACAGTAAGTACTTAATTTGCAGAAAATCAATCCACCGTCTCAGATTTGACAGCAATTGCCTTCCGTTTCTATCTTCTACTGAAATACATCCTATTCCTGACTATCGTCACATACTACTTAAGTGGATATAAGTTGCTCACATCACACTATCAGCTAAATGTTCTTCTACAGAAAGTGCATTGGACGGATGTCGTAGTACTAGTTGGAGACTTGAAAGCACTATTTGGAGGTCATTTGTATGACTAATCGCGATTTGTTGGTCACAGGTCAGATAACGGTGACCGTCTACTGCAACACTGTGCAGACTACAGCCTATTTTTCAATAGCAATAACTATCGGCACAGACTACCTGGAGACCTTTATCTACAACTCAAGTCTGGACTCAGATTAGTCGTATCGCAATCAGCTACCGTTGACGTGACGATATTCAAGACTCATATGCCCCAGTTCAGTAGTCAACAAATTTGTGATTCAAGTAGATTGGTTTCAGCTTCTGTTGCAACTAAATACCAGACCAAACTAGGTTCAATATTAGCTACCCACCAAAAAGCGAGAATGAATTGAAACCTTTGCATGTCGATTTGATCAGTTTATAATTTTTTGATTAGTGCATAATAAACACTAAAGTTTTTTCGTGTAATATCGGTATTTGTCCTGTCATACAGTAACAAGTAAACAATTTTGTCCGTAGTCATAACGAGTAGAAATATCAGATGTAGTAGCCAGTCGCACGTTGTTAAATTTATACTTGAAATTCTAATAATTGTATATTTTCAGTATGTTTATCTGTAACATGATTGTTTGCTCCATTCTCTTCCTTCAATTTTTAACTCACTTCGCAGGCCTTTTGAATTTTGTTTGCTAGTTGTGTTATCGTAGTAAAATTCTTCGTGTACCACAATATGATCCTTCCTAATCCTATATTCCATCGTGTCTATTGTATTAAAGTTGGACTTAAGGGTCATTAATGAACAAGATATTTGTAATGTATGACCAACCGAACTAGGAATCGTAGGATCTATTTAGCGGAGTATCCTACCTAACAAGAACATCATTACAAAAACATTCATGTGTTGTGATGAAAGTAAACGAAATTGGCCATTGAGTGTGGAAACACAGTCGCTCAGTTTATTATCTGTTAAATATGTAATCTCCCTTCTTATTCATTGCTACTCTGCACCAGCTAAGGGTGACTGCTTGTAACTGCGTAGAATACATTATTATCTAACGTTACTCTAGTTCTCTATTTTGGTCGCTAATCGGTTATCTGACATGTAATCTAGTCCGTGTATAGCGGATTATCGATTATTAAATCTAGTTTATGCATACATGTACACCTGGGAGATTGTCTTGATGCAGTTGTTCACAAGAACCAGAAAAGCCATGTGATCTTAGAGACTATGTGAACCAAAACGACTTCTGAGTAGTAATCAAAAGAATATATATATATATATATATATATATAGTGGTGTTATAACTGAGGAAATAAATAATCTCAAGTAGTAATATCGATCGATGGGTGTACCTTGAAAAAACCAACAGTTTTTGATAACATCATTTTTTAATGTTAACTAGCAGCACAAAACATTACTTCCATTTCAATATCTACCAAAAAGAGATAAAAGTTACAAAACATGTATAAAAGATACAATTCTATGGAATAAAACACAACGCATTCATTTATCAAAACTAACTTAACAAGAGTTAACAGTGTACTAAACTGAGTCGAATATTTAATCGCATAAACATGTGGACAAGAATTTAATTGAAAACAATTTAGTACAGAAAAAGAA